CTGTATTAATGAATTGGATGAGAAAATATTCTTTCCTGCATAAATTATTTTTTAACTGAGTTGGATAGACGATTTCTTAAATATTTCCATTAAATTGGGGGGAATTTCCCTACTTTCCGCACGGTGGATTTTTTTAAAATTTCAATATGTATTTTATATCTGTCCACCAAATACATTGTATTAATGAATTGGATGAGAAAATATTCTTTCTTGCATAAATTATGCTTTAACTGAGTTGGATAGACGATTTCTTAAATATTTCCATTAAATTGGGGGGACTTTCCCTACTTTCCGCACGGTGGATTTTTTTAAATTTTAATATGTATTTTATATCTGTCCACCAAATACATTGTATTAATGAATTGGATGTGAAAATATTCTTTCTTGCATAAATTATGCTTTAACTGAGTTGGATAGACGATTTCTTAAATATTTTCATTAAATTGAGGGGAATTTCCCTACTTTCCGCACAGTGGATTTTTTTCAAATTTTGATATCTATTTTATATTTGTACACCAAACACATTGCATTAATGAATTGGATGAGAAAAAATCCCTTCTTACCTAAATTACGCTTTAACTGAGTTAAATTGGAGATTTCCTATATTTTTTTCTTAAACTTGGGCGAATTTTTCTACTTTCCGCACCGTGGATTTTTTTTAAATTTTAATATGTATTTTATATTTGTCCACCAAATACACTGTATTAATGAATTGGATGAGAAAATATTATTTCCTGCATAAATTACGCTTTAACTGAGTTATAATGACAATTTTTTCAAAAATTTTCCTTTAATTGGGGGGTATTTTCCAACTTTCCGCATAGTGGAATTGTTTTTAAATTTAATATATGTTTTATATATCTTCATCAAATTCACTGTATTAATGAATTGGATGAGAAAGAATTATTTCTTGCATAAATTACGCTTCAACTCAGTTAAATTTTAGATTTTGTCGATAAATGAGCTTCTGAGCAATAATTCATTTTATCGAGGAAAAAATGTGTTGTTTCAATCATTTTTGTTTTTTATTATGTTTCAGGTCTGTCGTCAGTTTCTAAAAAGGGAGAATCGCCTAATTTTTGCATCCATGTAGCCGCAATTAAGTGAATTCCCGACAACTGTCGTGGAACATGGCGGGTTCAAATTTGGAAAAATTGGTAACTGTCCGCTGTAAGTGGCCGCTAGCTTTACCCAAAGCGTATATATAATATAAGCGAGGCAACGCTCAGACAATGGGACGCCATCTTTTGCCTATTGTTCTCGGCAATTTAACACGGCGCCTTATGAGAAGTTTCAACACAATCATTGAAACATACCTATATTTTCACTAATATTTGCGTAGAAAAATTTTGAAGGTCGCGTTTTGAAGTAGAATCTTAGCCGTACATGCTATATCCTTTCATGTTGGCCAAATTAACATTTATAGTACATTAAATTGTCTTTGAAGACAAGTATACCGGTCCGAGTTGCTTCCGAAAGTAAATTGGCCATTCTAATCGTCATAATTAACCATTTTGACAATGGCGTTCCTATGACGTCACAGATGAAAAGTTGTATTTTTTCTTCGAAATACCGGCCGACCCAAACTTTGCTTCAATGGCCGTTTCTATTTCCTGGTTGACATTTTCGTCGTCAATCTCTCATAATGCCCTACTGCTCAGCTCAAAGCTGCGCTAGAAGAACCAAATGACATTGTAGGATTGTTGCGGAGACATTTTACAGCCTCAAATTAGCGTATCACTATGAAAATCTTTGGAAATATGACCAAAAATGGTTCTACGCTGTGTTTTGGGGTCAAATTTAGCGCATTGCGTTAGTTTTTTTTCTAAATTGCGTTATATATTAAGATAGCATATATCTTAAAATTCAAAATCCACCCTTCAGTTTCATTCTAGCACTTGTACCAGCGGACTTATTCGATTCGGTACAACAACACGACGAAAATTTCCCGTAAGACTCCATTGTTTCGCGTTTCCCAAATATGGCACAAGATGGCGTCCATGAACTTGCTTAACATTAGGCAAGTTGGTTGCCGGCCGTTGGCTTTACCTAGGTCTCTGGTACTGCTACCGGTCTGCAGTGCTGCGTGCCTGCCTGTACTGAGCTTCTTTGTTTGATCACGGTTTGATATGATACCATGTTCATTTTGGACTTGTCTAGTACTGTAGTTTAGAACATGTTTTTAGATACCTGTATCTAATTGTTCCTTTATTCAGTTATTGTAATCGAATTAATTCAATAATTATTCCAAAATATTTAAAACCCCATATATGAGATCCCTATTTGTGATAATGCTGTAATGGGTCGTGACTCAAAGTTGGAGGCTCAGTTCTTACCACTTCATGGCAGCTCCTGCCACGAACAAACCGCGGCAGCTCTTGCCATGGTTTTATGGAGCTTTTCAGTATTCTGTAATCAGTATTGACGGTATATTCACAAATTAGTGTACCAGATTTTAATTGATCATGCGAAATTATGGTGACCGTACATTTGAACCCATGCGTATATCCGCGGGTTCAATCTATATGCGGGTGCTAAAACCCATGGGTTGGGGTTAGTATGGGTTCAAATATACGTAAAACAAAAAAATATTCCATAGGTGCAATAGTATGCAGGTGCAATTGTCATGAGTTCAAATGTACGTGGGTTCAAATGTAATGGAACCGAAATTATATCTACTTAAACCCTAACCCTAACTCCGTCAAAACTGTATCCACAAGAAAAACGTTCAATTTACTCAACATTTGTCACCATAAGGGACAGGCCTGTCACTACGACTCACCTGCCGTGGTTACGGCAGCAAAATTTTACCTGCCATTGATTTTCAATTTTCTGCCGCGGTAACGGCAGCTCGTCATTGGTTTGTGGCAGCTAAAAAGTCAGTCGCCATAGGTTTGGCCGTAGCGGCCATGGTATGGAAATACCGCCATGGTTTTGCGGCAGCTGCAGACGCCACAAAATACTTAAAACTGCACTTGCAAAGTTGGATCACTTGTTTTTAAAAAAAAATATACAAGTTATTGATTTCATTTTCTTGCAAATTTTGTCGTTAGTTTTGTATTCAGCATGAACTGTTTAATAATAATTGTATATGTGGGCACTTGGCAGTATCACGGTGTGTAAACTTATCAGCATCTATTTTTCGTTTTGACATTACAATTAGTTATTTAATCTATCATTAATAATGCTGTGCAAATAACAATGCAATTTGCTGTATCTGGCAATTGTAGCTATGTTCAAATGTTTATAAGAAAATATTTATTATTTAAAAAATTCAAACTTGTGCAAGCGGCTATAGGCTATAGCCCATGAATCAGTAAAGCTACCCCACGCCACAATTTTATCTCGCTGATGTTGGCTCTGCTTTCCTATTATGTAGTGAAATTTTAAGGTGAATTTTGGTCAACATTTTTTTTATGTAAATATGGTTGTTTTGTATTAGTGTAGGGATGGGCAATGTAAAATAATTTACAATTCTAGAATAGTTAAATCGATTCCAGAATACCGAATCCTATTCTATTTTCATACTTATTCAAATAGTGGGAATTTCCACATTGCTGGATTTAGATGTTAAAAAATTGCAAATGTATTACTTACTATAAATGTATTATTTATTTGGAAATGTCCTGAACATTGGATTTCATTTGATACTAAACAGGCAGTTCCCAGGACAATAAAATTTAGGAATATCACAATATTTTTTGCCTTCAATTGTTCCAAATGTATGTAATCCCTAAATACTAATAAATACTGATATGTTAAATTAAGACACGCTTTAATAGTAAGCGGGTAAATACAAAAATAGACATGAAACGGCTTTAAATCATTATTAATGTAAGTCTATCGAGTGTACTAAAACATACGGGATGAATTAATTAGATGCAGAACCAGCGTGTGGCCGCTGCAACCTATGCGCCGTTGTAAAATATCAAATTTAACCACTATCAATTAAAATCAACTTTTTATTTTGTGCGAGCAAGACACGTAAAACCAAGTTCTCGTAAACGCGATTTCGTACTTAGTTATTAGTTAATAACATCTAAAGAAGAATTCATTTTCTATGATTATCGTTACATATCATTATCTATCTAGACTTGGCCCTACTCAAATTCAATACGTCACTATCTTCGCCAGATGAGGCAACTTTTTTTTTAATTCATCGGCGATTAAAATACTACAGACACTCGATCAAACGTGCGTCTATCTTGAACGATAGAAATGTTATCATTAATCATTATCTACCCAGACTTAGCCCTACTCAAATTCACTATCTTCGCCAGATGCGGCAACTTTTTTCAAAATTTATTTGCGACTAAAATACTACAGACACTCGATCAAACGTGCGTCTATCTTGAACGATAGAAACCGACCGAAAAATATGTTATATTTTGAGAGTGAAATTTAAATGTGACAGATGTTCGCGTTTTGCGATATAACTCTGTATTTCGGAAAATGGTATAATAAAATTATTCGTAAATAATATTTGATCTAAATTAATTGCAAGTGATGTTATAACATTTAACGCCTGGCTTTTGTACGTGCATCATTTTTTGGGGAAAACTCGTAGGTCGCGAAAAATCATTTAATTTAAAATAAAGCAAGGCACGTCTGTAAACAATTAAAGATTGTTGCATTCAGATTTCAGATCATCGGAATATCACCAGTAAGTCGGCACAAATAATTATTATTATCATACGCTAGCTAGATAGCAAAGCAGGAAAACGCAAAAATGGTGCAATAACGAGTCTTCGCCGTGAGGTTATATTGCCGACTTCTTGTCCTGAATATGCCGATTGATATTACAGTGTTTGATGTTTACCGATTTACGGGCTCTTTGCGAGCAGACGCAAGTTTAATTAAACGAGAGAGATTTCCCCGCGAGAAAAACGCTCGTCTATAATTGATAAATTAGAAACCCGAAATACAAAAATTGACGCATGGCACCAGAAACCGAATCCTGTTATCGGATCCCGTTGGATTCGAATACTTTGGGATTCGAATCCTTCGGATTCGGTATTTTATATTGCCCATCCCTATATTAGTGAAATAATTTTGTAACCATAGAAGCACTATGGTACCTGCCATTTAGTATTTGATCTTATTCCTGCAAGATTTCACAAAATTCATTTTATTTTATTTCGTATGTGACATAAAGCATGCTCAGCATTCCATGAAAATTTGTATATTTATTGTCTCAGTCATTTTAATAGGCTTTCTCATTGCAGCATTGTGTATGATCAATTTATTCATATCTCTGGGTACTCTTGCTCCTTGACAATAAATGTTTTTCTATTAATAATAGTTTTTGCTATGTAAACTAAAGCTAGCTAGTTCGAAATGCAGCTTATTTTCTGCAATACCTACAATTTTGACTCTCAAGGGGCGAATGGAAATTGGGCTGTCATCAAATTTCCTTGCATGGTTGCTGTAGATGAAATTAGAATTGTTCCACCTGGTGTAAAAACCCACAGTCAACTTCATGAAGATCAGTTTACAGGGAAAACTTCACCAAGTAAATTTCGTATTGAATTTTTTTCGGATGATCGCAGCGCTTCCATGACCACTTATGAACATGTAGGTTCCATGGAATATGCTGAGGGTTCTCCTAACAGATTTCACCCCCCATCTGCATTGTACAGTGAAAAACTTCTTTTAAATGGTTGGTTCAGTCAAATCACAATTGCTGTATACGGAGGAATTCTTAGTGATGTTGGCACCACTCCACCTCTTCTAGATTTAAATATGAAAACTCCTTCACTTATTATTCATGAGAAACCTGAAGGAAGGTCAGTGTATATTCGAGGTGTGCAAGATGTACCACAATTGCCAAAAGAACTAGACAAACCAGAACCGCTTATGGCATCTTTTCCTGCAACAGGAGAAGCGGAGTTTATGCGACGAGGAATTGACGACAATCCTAGGGGAGTTTTAGATGATTTCGGATTCCAGGAGGATGACATGAACCTAGATGCTATTCCTCCGCCATACTATGATAGACGTCAACAGCGGAATAAGGGGTTCGGCCACAAAAACTATATGGGTGAGAGAATGGATTATAACAGGGTAATGGGGGGTCGAAAAACATTGCTTTCAGGCACGGAGCAGGATAACTCATTTAGAAATGATGGTGATCATTTTTCGTATAAAGATAAAAATAAAGCATTCCATCAGAGACAGCACATGCGACATGAAATAGTTGACAACATCGATGTAGGTATTCATAAGCAAAGAAGTGGAAATGAACGGAATTTACAAACTGATCACGGTGAAAACAAAAGAGAGCAACGCCTGTCTGAAGATAACAGTGAGACTAAAGATATAGGACATAGTGTCGATAGTAAAGGGGAAGACCATGCAAAAGAACGTAGCCAGTGGATGGGTGGAGAATATGAAGAAATCAGTGAAGAAGAGATTGAAGAGGAACGTGCTGCGGCTTTACAAGATATGGAGGATTTAATAGATGTTGAAGTTCTCAGTTCCACCAGTACAATGGCTTTTAATCCTTTTATGATGGAACCCGTTCAGCTGATGCATTTTAATCACCCAGAAATGAGCGAATTTGAGATTGAATGCAACAATCTGCTTTTACAGCAGGAGCAGGAACAGCCTCACCAAAATGGGGATGAAGCTGATGTTGCTAGATTTGAATCTCTATTCACTAAAGCGAGAAAAATTGGTAAAATACAAACTACGGACTCTGGTTTGCCAGTTCTGATATTAAATGCAGAACAAGGGAAGGAATGGGTTGCAGTAATAGAGGAATTCATTCCTCTTATCTCGACAGCTCTTCCATTGATCGGAGTTAACCATCGGGAGAAGTATGACCAATATATATCGTTGCTTGTTATGTGGGTACTCACTGGATTAGATAGTGCTGCAGCGTCTACACAAGCTATCGGAACTAACCTTAGGATGCTGAAATGTGGGATCAATTTAGCTCACAAACTCTGTTCTACTACACAAGACATTGTATCATATTTTACATCATCAAAACTGGATTCAAAGCTCATATCTTTGCTTCGTATGAAATATATGGCGTCTTCTTTAAAAATAATGATTGTCCATGCTTTAGATGCTTATTTGTCATGGCCATATCAATTGATGCATACATTAATGAAGAAGGAATAGTTTCTTCTGAACAATACTCAGCACTTGTTGAGGTCATGCTAATGCCACAGGCTGCGAGAGTAGCTGAAGCCTTATCTAGACTTATAAACAAAATAACATTGTTTCATTCTATGTGGCGACTTAAAACGGTTGTACATGATCTGATAACCGAAAAAATACCTAATGCTGAAGATGAATATTTTTTCGAAGATGAGTACATGACTGAGGATATGGAAAGCGATGTTGTTGAGGAGGTTGTCATGGAGGAGGAAGAAATGGTTGTTATGTCATCTACTTCAAATGATGAAGAAGATGATACTGATCACTTTCGACTAATTAATAAAGAAAAAAGTACGAACAAAAATCTTCGTAATTATGAAAACCAAGAGTTTACTGAAAAACTTTCTGATGGTGATGCTCAGCAAATACATGTACCACACACCCTCCAGAAGATACAACTGTTCCTCTAGAAGCTGCCATTTGTACTGATGAAGCTAACATAAAAGTGAACGATGTTGAAAACATATTGGAATCATTGAGACTGATAACACACACTATACAGAACATCAAATCAACTATTGCTCAACTTCCAAAACGGGTTTTTCCTACAGAATCAAATTTAGAGGAAATTGCAGATGGTCCTGCATTGAACAGTATGTTTCGCATGATGGAATATTACCAGGTTCTCCCTGCTGTCCAGGCTTTGCTTTGTACTCCTGTAATTTCAAGCATACAAGATGTTTACGAAGCGACTTATACGTTTCTGGATATTTTAATGATGCGACAGGATGGATTGCTTTTTTTGGCATCAAATTTTAATTGTGTTTATTGCATTGCTAGACATTTATTATGTTCTACACCAAACTTGTCCACTACTGAGATAGAATCTGTGGGCACTGCATCTCATCTTGGTGCAAAATTAGCAATTCATCTTCAGTGTATACAATGTGTGGATCAACTTGGGACATTTCCTGAAATAGAATTTGATGAAACAATAGCAGAGGAAGCTGCTGAAATTCTAAAAATGCTTTATTCACTAACTTACGAGACTTTTGGAAAATATTGGGTGGCAAAAATCTTAAGTATGGATGATCATATACTTACATTATTAGCATGTATACAAAAAGTCAACAAAGAAGAAACACCTGCCAAAGATGAGGAGGATTCTAAGGATGTGGGAGAAGACAAAAAAAGAGAAGAGAATCTCGAAAAACCAAGGAAAAAGCCTCAGCGGAAAATGGCAGCAAATGGATACGCAATGAACATTTTGCTTATAACTTTGAAAATGTCACAGAATGTGTCCCATCTTTTATTACATCATGAAGTCATTTTGAGCACTATTAAGGCTGCAACATTTAGTCATTCTCTAGAAGAGGTACAAGAGTGGTTACGCCCTCTTAATACGTTGAAAAGCCCACAAAATGCTATTGCGGGATGCATGGAATTTTTAAAAACTACTTTCGAAAAATTGGAGTGGAATACATTAATGACGTCTGGTCCTGGATTATGCACAGCACTGCGAATATTATGTAATACCAGTGATGTGAAACATCCCCTTGCTTTTAGGATGTCTTCCATGGATGAAAAAATACCAATGTCAATGTACAGCACCTCCATTCAAATATTTTCTGGAGGAGGTCTTTCAGTATTGGTAGATGGGATAGAAAAACTTAACAAATGTTTCACCTATCCTTGTTATAGCCAGCATTCACTAACTACAATCTTATCATCTAGTTTCCATAATTTGGTTACTGTATTATCAGAAAACTTGTTGCTACTTGTCAATCATTTGCTCAAAGTGCTGCTCAGTACACCTGAAGGTAAATTCAAACCAGATCGTTTGACAAAATTACTAGTTCACCACTATGCTGGTATGTACACTGTATTACGCCAGTCATGTATCGAAAAATTGGACATTATGACAGAATTAATTGTATTCATACTTACCCTGCTCTTGAAAACATCTGATAACAACACTTCAGATGATGGGAACCAGAAAAGTAAGATTTTGACTGAAATCATTTCCAGCATGCAGGAACATTGTCAGTCTATGGTGCCTGGAATGATTCTACTTTCACATCTGCTTCCACTGCCATTACCAATTGTTATTTCCAATGAGCTGGATGGAGAAGCTATCAAGTCGGTAAAAAAATGTAGAGGTGCATGGGATGAATCCCTTCAATCAGTGATGGATGAGCTATCTAATGTAGTTTCTGTAGCATGCCACTCAACATGTCTGCCATGGCTTGAAATTCTCATACCGCTAATTCAACAAATTTCAGATCTTTCTCCGACTTTATCACAAGCGGTTATTAATGTAGTTCTTGATACTTGCGTTCATGCTTCCAAGCCAGTGGTAGAGACAGAAAATGCTGAAGAAAAACCTGTCCAAGAAGAGGAGTACATTTATAACTCACACCAAATATCCATATTGTCAGAAATTGCAATGAAAGGTTCATCGAAAGCAACTATTTTGAGTATTATTCAGGAAAATAAGAGAGATTCTTTGAATTCATTGTGGAAAACTGCAAAACAACAAATAAATGACAGGTCGTCACGTCTCAATGAAGCTACTATGGGACTTGCAAGGGTTCTACTTGACCCAAACATAACACTGGTTCCTACAGAATTGACACAACCAAGTTTGATTCCTCAATCTCACTTACAGGACATTGTGAGTTTGTCTGTAGACTGTTTAAATTCAGCATCATTGCAAACTATCCATTGTGCTCTTCATTCTCTGAAATCACTGGCATCCACTGAAGAATGGTACAAAGAGATTAGATCTCTTCTAATAAAACACCATTCCACCCTGAATAATGTTCTAGAAACAATCTTGAGAAGATGGACCAGAGAGTATATGCAATCAGTTGCCACACTTTTAGACTTCTGCATTTTTGTGAGACTTCTGTGCAGACCAGAAAAGTGTAGGCACAGTTATCTTACGAAAGCTGAAATACGTTCGATCTTGAGATGGAACAAAGAATTTGCTACCGGGACACACCCGTTAATTTCATTGAAGACAAAACTTGAAGCGGATGAGTCTGATGATGAATTCGTAAACTGTGCTCTGGATGAGGTGACAGTTTTATGTCAAACATTGAGAACATCACACGTTCTGAAACATAAAGTTCAAGAGAAAAAGAATGTGAAGGACAAAGCCATCAAGCCTTTATCATTGCAGGAGCAGTTTGAGATGAGAATGATTTTTGCATATGGCGGGGATGATGATATATTTGCTGCCAGATTGTCCGTTCTTCAGGGAAACACAGAACAATCATTTATATCAAAAAATATCAAGTCGAAAAGCAGTATTTCGGCAGATCTTGTTGATATGGCTGAGAAGTTCTGCACAGGATACAGTTTAGGAAAAAGTTTAAAAGAACTTACAGAGTCTGCCAAAACAACAGATATTGATAAGATTCGAATGGAAGCGAAAGCAAAGAGGTTGAAGAAAATGGAAACGTTTTCAACACGACACGGAAAAACAATGACATACATTAAACGCTCACACGGACTTGCTGGCCCCCCTCCCAGGGGTAGAGGGCGTGGACGAGGTGGTATGTCCTCGGGGAGACATTACGACTTATTCAGACAGAGAAAACAAAATACGAGTCGTCCACCATCCATGCATGTGGATGATTTTGGTAGCTGCAGACGAAGAGGGTGGTGGTACAGAAACTGAATTGCCCCCTCCCTCACCACCTCCACCAACATTCATAACATCAAGAAGAACTGCACGTCCATTCAAAAGAGATTATGTACCTCGCGGAAGAGGTCGTGGATCTATGAGAGGATTTGGCAGAGGCAATTTTCAACATCATTTCGGCTCAGGTACGAATATTGAGCCTCTGTCCAATACCACGACAAGTTTAGGAACAGAAGCCTTACAAGCAGAATGCCAGACAGATTTCCAAGAGGCAGGGGACGTGGGCGGGACCCCACACGCTCATTTTCGCCCAGAGACAAACTTTAAAGTGAAGCCACAACAGTCTTGGTCATTTTCTAATGGTAGGAACTTTGGTGGAAACTTTCATCGCCAGGTGGTTTCCGGGGTGGCCGAGCCAAAGCCCTTATGAAGATTGGACGACCCCTTCTTGGCCCCCGCCATTCAATTTTAACAAATGGGGTGGAATGCCTCCAAGACGAGGAAGGGGTTATGGTAAACCAAGAGGCAAGCATTTGAGGTCATTTACACGTTAAAATTAAACAGATGGGCGAAATATGATAACTTGGCAATATATACCCACTCCCTTTCTATAATTATGATTTCTGAGTTTTCATGCAATTTGCTCAATCATGATGGTATGTTTTGTGTTGTTTCATCTAAGAAAAAATTTGTTTGGTAACTTTTTTTTAATTAAAATGTATAAACTGTCTCCAGTGTTTTGTTGGTTGTCGGTTTAAAATCTGTCAGTCTAATGATTCTGGTAAAATAACAATTAGTTAGCGCTTGTTCTCTTTTCGTCATACAGGTTGTAAAGTGGACGCATGATATTTTGTGACTGTAATCGTAATCCACTCACTGTTTTAATTTAAGCATATGTACATTTCAAGATGTGCGATAAAATATATCCCAGCAAGTGAGTTCACATGTAGCCTGTCCAGTGGCGTATCTACTTAAAATGGCGCTGCACCCCCCTTGATAGTTGTATGACAATTTGTAATGATTATTAATGGATTAGGATACTTCTACGTTAATATTTGAGTAAAAATACAAGTTTTCAGTTATTCCCAATTTGAAATTATTTCATTGAAACGTTTTATTATTAATACTTTTCGACGTTTTCGCGCCCTTGTTCAAACGACGCCCATGGCACGAGCCATGGCTGCCACACCCTAGATACGCCACTGAGCCTGTCGCTAACCAAATCCCCCTTTAGACAGAATAAAATTAAGGTGGATGGTTTGCTATCATGTTTACAACCATAGCTTTGGCAATGAGAATTTATATGCGTTACATTGCAAAAACATTGTAGTCCAGGATAACAAGAGGATTATTCTACTATAATTTACAAAACATTAAGCTGCGAATTCCCCAGTCATACTTGGAACTAATCAGAAATGAGAATTCATTGTATATTAAAAAATAAACGATTACTCAAAGACCATTTGAATAAATCACCTACAACATATTTTGCTATCCATAGACGGCACTTGGCAAAGTACTACTCAGCGCATGGAATTAATTTTATTCTTGGTAGGTATTGCCAACATTTTGACAATTTTGTGAAGATTCACACACCTTCCTCGCCTTGTTCCCTTCTGCCATCCAGTAAAATGTTGACAATGAGCATTTTTTCCAGTTTTGAGAGCTATTCTTTTTTAAAAACTTTCAGAGCAAATTTCTAGAATTCATCAGAACTTGTCAGCAAGACCCATAATTCTCTGCTGTTCTGTTTTCGCAGATTCATCTTCTCCCTCCCCTATACTTCCTGCATATTCTCGCAAGATTGTTCTGATGCTTTTAACAGAGCCGCCACGTAGATTTAATATCTGCTGAATGCGTTGTTTAATTGCTGACAGACCAGAAGATGCCACTTCAACAATAATATAATCTACTTGTTGTAAAATGAAAAGCCCGGCATCTAATCTACTCATATAATGTTCATCTTCCATTTCCTCGTCCCAATCTTTTCCCTCTGCTTGTAACATTGCTTTCTCCTTTTCCAACTTGTTTTCTGCAGCTTGTACACGGGAATAGTACTTGAAGTGTATCTCCATTAAACGATCCACTTTTGCTAAATCCGATTCAGTGAATTTACTAATCAATCTCTGCCGTTGTGGTCCTTGTAAATTTCGTAACATGGAGGAAATTATAGATACAACATGTTCTTCGTGTACTTTTACTCTGACTCCGCCTTTCTTCTGCTTTTTCGGAGGCCTCATAAACAGTGGGAAAAGAGTTCGTAAACCGAGAATTTCAACAAATTTGGCACAGTTGTCTGCACCATGATATCCAGTCATAGCATGATCAAGAACTTTCAACGCACTGTTTCTTGACATCTTTTTCTCCCTTAACATTAAATTCATGAGTTGTAGTCCCTCACCTTTCAAGAATAGTGATCGATTTCCTTCATACAATAATGAAGAGCAAAGGCAGTTAAAAAGGTTCTCCATGAGTTCAGTTTCTTCTGATGATATTGGATCATTTCGTTTATAAACAGCTAGAAGTTGTAATAAAATGTCAATACCATCATGTTCTCCGAGTAGTTTCCTTGTCTCATCATGTCTTTGAAGTAATATTGACAAGATTTCAGCACAATATAGTTTATTGGCATCAAATTCCTTTTTCAATTTTAACCTTTTGAGGAGCCATTGTAACAAATCTTGCTGTGCAAGAACTGGACATAATTCTGGCTTTAGTTCGATCATATTTTCAATTACTCCCAAGGTGTGGTGAACAGCTTCAGCTTCTTCCTTTACTGTTTCATCTAATCTATCCATATTTTGTACAAGAAGAGATGATACTTGCCCATCCATCAGAGCATCAATTAGGACCTCTGCACCTTCTTCATTTTCAGTTAATGTATCAATATCTGTTAGTTCTTGTAATAAATCAATGACTGCAATCGAAATGTCTGCATTCGCATGATTTACCAGAGCAAGAAATGAGTTAACAGCACGTAATTCTACTAAGTAATGATAATGTTCAGGCATCGTAGCAAGTACTTTCATTTCAGAAACTATATCGTTCAAGTCAAGTTCCGATTCCATGAATTTTTCAGGATTATCGGAAAATTTAATTCGCATTTCTTGGTTTTTTAGAACACGTTTTTCGAATGAAAGAATCATCTTTTTGATACTCTGATCATCCAAAGTTTCTATCGCATCTGCAGAAATTTGAATTTGACCTTCCACCATTTCCAAAAGTTTCATCTGTCGTTCTTCTTCTTCAATATTTGATATAGATTGTGTTGTCTGGACTGTATTGAAACCTCTTTTTATACCTGATGTGACAGACATATCATTACCCAGCTGAAGTCTAGCAGACTTTTTCTTTGGCTTTTCTGAAGGGTTATCATTGCCATCAATATCTCTTTTACCCAAGTTCGGCTTATAATCGAGCAGCTCACCAATATCCATTATGCTCTCATTGGACTTCCAGACTTCAGAAATATACTATGTCTAATATCCTGTAAATGTATACAAAAGTTGAATTCAGACATATTTACAGATATAATTCCTGTGAATGCACAGAAGTGTAATCAGATGGAAGTGGTGTTTGTATCACCCTTCACCCTGTAATCCCATTTTTATTCATTTCGACATTGTGTATGTACAGTGCTGCAGTGTATTTCAAGTATAAACTACTGACTGATTAAATCTCTTTTCTTGCATATGTTGCAGGATTGCCATTCCAGCGGCACTTGGTACCGTACTAGAAGAGCACAAAACAGGTGACATGATATCAACACCACATGTGGAGGGTCACATTACTTTTCGATTGTTTAGCTATCTCGGAAATGATAAACAACCTCTGAACCAGGCATATTTTGAGTTGATCTTATCATCGATATATCTGTATATAGTCTAAGTTACATTCAGACATTACAGCATTAGTCACATAAAACGACATACAGTATACAGACATACGGTAGGCGTTTATATATCACAATAGGTACCGGTACCTGACTACCTGTAGTGTCGCGCACCGTTTATCACGGTTCATGCAAGTAGGCTATGTCCTATTTACGGGTGGAGGCTAACTCGCCATGGACCACTCGCCATGCGACGGCGGTTAACGGGTTAGCCTGCAACTGTGCGGAGGCTCTTCTTGTAATGGGAGATGGAAAGGTGGCTGTCCCAAGTCAAGTCTCCCTGACAGTCATTAGTGGTGGTAGCCTAAAAATTTCGCTGAGGGCAGCGCATTACTGCATTAGGAGCAGCTCATCATCGCACACACATAAAAAATTACAAAAACCGGGCATGGGTCATACATAAACCAGAGCCATTATGAATAAACAAACAAAAATACGCGAATGTATTGAACTTTAGAGCTGTTGTACTTTAAAAACACTTTGTCATAGCTATATTTTGAAAAACAAGATCGCTTACAAATTGTAAGTATAGCCTACTTATAGTTGCGGCCGCCATGTTTTTCTATTCGTAACAAGTAATAATCTTATCACACATCACCCTTTTCACAGTCACCAATCATAAATTGTAGCCCTGGAATTAAGGGGATCATATTCGCAATATTTGCCTCATTACCTCTGAGCCATGCTCGTCCCCACCCCAACGAGTGGAAACGGAACAGGATTCTGACGTGTTTAAAGCTATCTATCAGCCAAACTAACTCAACTAATTTGGCTATTTTTGCTGCCAAATTTTTACATTGACATTTTCAATATGACATGGTAATTACGGTATGTAGAAATATACCAATCGAATATTAGTGGATTTTTCAATGTGTAAGACAATACACGACGTTATATTGGCACAAAATCCCGCGCACGCAAGTCAATGTATCAGTCAGTTTGATAGGATAAGCAAACATTCATTTATTTTACCTTTCATAGTAAGCCAACCGAGTTTAATTGAACACCGCGTTTCCGATCGCGGGTGCGATCATCAATTTCTTATGTTCTGGAACAGGCCTGCACAACATACGGCCTACGGGCCGCCCGTTAGATATTTCTGTGCGGCCCGCGGGTGATTTAGATAGGGCTGAGAATGGTTAACCGATTTCATATGGTTAACGGTTATGATTTATTTTAACCGTTAACTGACATCTCAGGTACAAATCATCTTTATACCGTACAATTTCGTCAAATATGATTACGTTATCGCAAATTTATCTTTTGCGGCATTTAATTCAAAAAAATATTACTAACTGTGTGGGTAAGGAATCAATAAATGTGAAAAATAATGGAAGCACCAAGGTTGCTGATAATGAAAATTTACAATGATGAATTCAGAATCAGTTTTCGGTCGATTTCGAAATACATTGTTCACGATTTCATTGCAAACTCGGATATTCAATTTCATACAACAAGTGTGCAGTTGATGCCGTTTTTCTTTATGATATATATCTCGAAGTGGAATTTGTACATAGAACACTCAAAATTTGTCACATAAATGACGTTTAACAACGGAATCGGGTCTTCTAAAATATTTCCACATGCCCGAACCACGCTGCCTATCTTTTGCAGCAGAGGAATCATGAAACTATCTCGATTCGTGAACAATTTTGAGCGATACCGGGATAAGAACACGCGAAATTGCTTTATAATCATTATGACGTAACAAGCTGAAATTATAATTATTACGTCAAACGTCACGTAGCGATTAACCGCTTCATTTTACCCGGGTAACGGTCAAAGTGTTTTCCCTAAAATTCCCAGCCCTAGATTTAAAAAACCTCATGATTCAGACAGAATCGCGCCTAAAAAAATGTCGGTATACAATCACACCCACCATAAGTGTATATTAGTAATCAATTTATAACCTATTATTTTCATTAGGCATTCTATAATTTTTAGTTTATTCGAATTTAAAACAAAAACAATTCCTTCATTAATTCATGGTGTGTCAATAAAAAAAAGTACAACCGATGAAGATATACTGCTACTAAATAGATTATTTGTCTATCCTACAATGGAAATATCCAATAAATTGACATACCAATATTTGGGGTGGGGGGGGGGGGGGGGGGGGGGGTTATTAAAGACAACACTTTAAAATGAATTACAAAAATTTCGCCAAATTTGATAAAAATGAGAAGAAAATAAAGAAAGTTTAATGAAGATTCTTCATTCCGAAATACTTGTGAAATCTGTATCTGGCAAAGTTTTCGGCCGAGTTGTGGGGTCTAGTGGTAACGATTGTCACCGTTGAGATTGGGTTCGATTCCAGGCACTGGCACTTTGTCTGAAGGAATTACAAGAAACAAAAAATTTACTCTCCGAGGAAGGCACCGACTCCAGAGTAGATTTCAGCTGGAGTCGTGTTAAGCACTATTTCCGATGGCTAGGAAGTGTCGTGCTATTTCCTGGGTAACTAAGATCAAAAAAAAAGTTTGCGGCCCGTCGGACCTTCAGAGTTATGCGTGCGGCCCTCTTGGTATTTTGAGTTGTACAGGCCTGTTCTGGAATATCTCTTTTTCAAGCTGAAATAATGTGCACTACGAATATCGTCATGGTTCCGTACCTCTTTGTCCTGTGTATTGTACAAGAGTTTTATTTGTATATTTGTCTGTTGTCCTACTATAACGCAGCAGTCCTAGACTGCAGTTATACTTGTTGGGGTGCATGTCGCACATCTGTTTCTTAGGCCAGTAACATGCACCCCGTCTCTGTTATACCGTTTAACTATTATGCAGATACTGTTACATTTTTGATGCAAATAAACATACATACATAGGCTACATACAAACAACGCTCACAGACCGTCTGCCCTGCACACGTGAGCTAATAATTACATAGTACCGGAATATCGGTATCCGATAATATCGGCATATCGGTATCAGCGTTTTTTGTTTTGTTGGTATCTTGTCAGTATCGGCAGCAAAAGTAGTACCAGTACATCTCTGATAGAGAATGAGGATGAAGAACGTATCCAGCAAGATTTACGTCAAGCGAGTTGTTACGTCACTTGTGTTTGGTTTTACATTGTTACGTCACAATAATGCCTGTAGTTGTGGAGGTGTTTTTCACTGGTTTCCAAGTCAAATGTGAGCTATGTTGATGAATGGACATTCGCCTGTTGATTTACAAATTATCATGTCCACCGGTGACAAATGTCGGTGACATTTGATTTCACCTATAATGTGGATTGATATCAGTACGCATTTGAACCACTAATTATAGGTCTCTTTTTGCATTTGAAGATTTTTTTACTTTGTTACATTTCCAATATGTTTGTATATGTAGAAATTTTTGTTGCTTGATTTTCGTATATATTTTTTAAAGCAACAAACAAGTGTTTTTTCATTCAAGTCAATCATACTCATTCTGCTTTCCGGCCACGAAAGACAATACAGAGAGTGAGAGTTTATTTGTTTTGTCCACCAGAAAAAAATTTACACAACAAAAAAACATAATTATCAAAAAGCAAAACAGTTTTCGGTATTGACTGGGTGGCAACGATACGACCATGCGGTCATCGGGTCAGTTACCACCCGATAGTAATATCAATAAACATGAATAAAAAATGGTTCAGATATGTTTTAACGTATTTCAGGTGTGTCTAAAAACAACATTAAGTTTCCATGGAAAGGAAATACACAATAGGCAATAACATATAGGCGTTTAACGCTAAATAAAATTTCGGAAATGTTACACACTTGATCAAGTGTGGTATTGATCAAATTTGACATGAATAAGTATTTTTGAGTAAATGGAGCATAAATTGTGTGGAATCGGGTATTTCGGATTGAAGAACACACAATAACATTTTGTGTAAATAGTGAAAAAATTGCGCAGCATATATATAAATCATTAAACAAAATCATTACAAAGTAACAAAATAAATTAAAACGACAGTTTATAAGGTACAAAAAAACAATAAAAATTGCAAGATCTCAAAATTGAGCTTAAGCTGGAATATGCAAAATAATACAGTATATGCTTTTTGTGGGTTTTATATTATTGAATGACGCGTACTGTAAATTTAATAGTATGATTCCAGTGAATATGAACACCCATAGATGTTGCTAATATAGCCTACTCCATCGATTCGCTGGAATGAGATAGGTGTACAAATACTCGAGAGGAGGTGCCTAAAGGTAAATTGAGTGTTCCCGCTTTGAGAGTACCTATCAAGTGAAATATTGTACATGAAGGCATTAAAAGTCAGAAATAAAATGAGTCTTATAGGGCTAATATTGGAATACTAATGGAACTTAATTTCGGGGAATAATTGAAAAATAGAATGGAGAACAACCCATGTTAAATTATAAACTACAGCCAATACACGCATACAAACTTTCAAATGTTATTGATATACTTTTAATTTATGTGTATTAAACTTATTATTTTAGTAAGTTTTTAATTTTAAATACTTTTAATGCGTAAAGGTACAAATATTTGAAATTCGTTTTTTTTTTTATACAAGTGTAGATGTGGCAACATACTTTCTATTCTATACTGAAACGCATGAAAAACGTTTTGCCATGTAGCGTTGGTCGATGGAAGTTACGGGCTGGCCACTATTTGTTTGGCCCCAAATTCTATTATTCATTGGAAGAAGTGGATTAGGAGGAGGAATAAGTGCGGTACATTATACATACAAAAAATGATGTGGTAAAGTTGCTACTACACTACTAGAGCTGTGGCTCAAGATTTTTTACCTTTTTGGCAGAAAACATAATGATGTAATGTCAGACAGACAGGTCTGCAGGTGTTTACATGTGTATCAATATAAGGATGTACGTACAGACGTAGAGCTTGAAAAGTTAACAGTGATGGCCATCATCTAATACTTCAGTATTTCGAATACCCGTACATTCTAAAAAATATTTTCAAATCTGGAATTCCGAATACATTCTAAAATCCCCCACATACAGACATAGCTTCATAGGTACCGTACCGGTACAGGTACCGACATAAATATTATTCAGTTTTCTAAAATCCAAGTACATAGGAATTAGGCTTTACAGCTTTATGAATGTATCATTGTAAAACAGTCATAAGTACAAACAGACAAATGGTAAGTCAGATATGATTGAAATTAGTGATTTTCTTGCTTCTAGGAAAAGAAACCTGTACCGGTATTACTGTACCGATATGAACATTACAATTCATATTGGCCTATCTATGAATTGTGGTAAACTGGAAAGCACAGAGACAGAGCAGCTAGGCGTCCAGTGAAATGTTTTAAATTATGCAGTAAAATCGAAGTCCAGAAGTCCTCATTAACAACACACACACTTTTTAACACCGCTAATTTTTTGTTATAAATCCTGACTGTTTATCGTCAGTGTAAGTGTCATTTAGTCGAGTGTTTCCCAACCGCCGGTCCGCGGAAATTTTAATGTGTTTTTCTACCGCCTCAATCGCTTTACTGAAGCCGAAAAGAGGTAGTTACGTTGGTTTATTACGCAATTTCTCTTCCGCCGTCATATTGCTGTTTGATAGGTGTGGTATGGCCCGGTGACGTTTGGCGCCGAGTAATCACACTTTTCGCTTTTTCGGTTCCGATTCATCGCGAATCGCTCCGTCTAATCTCGCAAGTTTCCAAAATCTGAAAATGAGCATGCGCGCTCTTTCTGTTCTGCACATTATTTGATAGTTTTTCCTCATGTGAAATGTTTTTAAGTGTACCCTTTTTTTTTGAAGAGTATATACTGATTGTCCGACATTGTGCAAATATATGTTCTGTTCCACTCATTTCAATTTTTGCCGGTCTGCGAGTACACTTTATTTAATTTTTCCACCATGGTAGAAAGGTTGGCAACCACTGATTTGGTCCATCGACATTGTTAAGCTAAATTCCACCACAATTATCTCAGGTATGCACAGGTATTAAGTGCTGTACTACCACGGGTAGTTATTTTTATTTTGCTCACAAAACTATAAATTAGTTCAGAAAAACGCAACTGTTATTACGCGATCATCGTCTTAATCAAATGAGTGGACCCGGTCCCCAAATTTTCATCCATTATAAGTACTTTATTTGAATATTTTTTTTTCTATTGATTAAATTAAGTTATATGATGCTTCTGTTGAAAAAATACAATAGAGCTCAAAGTTTCTTCCCACTCGTACTGAGCTGCCGTAATATATCAAGAAAAAAACAAGTGTTACTCACTGATCTTGTGCAGAAGAAGCCGGAAGACTTGAGAAGGCATCAGATATATGACTATTTTATTGTTCTTGATTTTGAAGCAACTTGTGAGAGATCAAAACTAACCTATGATCAAGAGATTATAGAATTTCCAGCATTTAAAGTTAATTCATCAACATATCAAATCGAAGAATGTTTTCATTCCTTCGTCCGACCAACTATACAACCAATATTATCAGAATTTTGTATGCAGTTAACTGGAATTACTCAATTCCAAGTAGATGATAAGCCTACTTTAAAAGAAGTTATGCAATTGTTTGACATTTGGATGGAAAAACATGTCCTTAGTGATAATAAGAACTTTATTTTTTGTACATCTGGTGATTGGGACTTGATGAAAATGTTACCCAGTGAATGTAAGATGAAAAATTTGACTTTACCTAAATATTTTTATCCTTATGTAAATATAAACAAGTCGTATGCATTAACAATGGGAAAATGGCCTAGACTTGGCAAAGGTCGACTGCATGCTATGCTGCGATTGTTAGACTTGGAAGTTTTTGGTGAACTTCACCAAGGTACGAGTGATTGCGAAAACATGATTCGTATTATGGAAGTACTGTCTAAAAAAGGTCATATTTTTAAGCCAACATCAACTTCATAGGACTGAAGTGAAATTGATGAATATTTCTCAAAAATTGTAATTGTTGAGGGTGTAGTGGCCCATGTCGAGTGCGGTTTTTGGGGCCAAGTTGATGTGTGTAGCTAAATGGGATACTACAACACTACAGTTAATAAGCCACATCTGGTCTTAACTGTTTTCTTGATCTACTATTAAAAACTGATTTGGTAATTCGGTTTGTAATATTTCATGAATGTTTTTGGGAAATTTGATATATAGTGAATATGTAGGTACCTAATTCTTTTGTAATAGCTTATTGAAATCCAACAAGCAATTTTTAACAAGCTTATTCTATAATTTTTTGATACTTGCGCTGAAATAATTAATTTGAAAGGATCCAAATGTATGAGTTCCAGATGAGCTTTATGTTCAAAATTTCTAGTGCTCCTAAGTCATCCATTGTTCTCCATATCAGGCTGAATATTGTTTGTTTTGGCCAAGTAGGACATGTGTTAAAAGCCATCTTGGTAACTACTGGTGTATCATGAACTCCAGTCTTGTTGAATGTTATTGCATTGGCGCTTGTAACTGTAAGTATTTATAATTGTTTGCAGTGAGTTATACTGCCTACAGGCACAGCTTATCGAAAACTAATAAAGTGCTAATAACTTATTGCTTTTTTATCTTTTAGAATAATATAAAACACTAAAAAATATAGTATTAAAGGTATTCAAATACACGTTGCCTCGAAATGGCAACAAAGGATGATTATGTGTCTGAGATTGAGGCGATCCAAAAAAGGAAAGTTGCATTGAGCAAGAATGAAGATGAGGGTTCCCCTGAACAACCAACAGATGGTGAAGCTCGAGTTGGACTCGGTCAAGAAGGTCATTATGATCAGGAGATCTATGGCGGTTCGAATAGTAAATTTGCAGGATATGTAACATCCATCGCTCCAAATGAACAAGAGGATGATGATGAAGTTGAAGATGTGAATGCCGCTTTACTGGGAAAACGACAGACATACACTGCTCCTGCAGCTGTTCTTAACGATATCCCACAGAGTGATGAATCTTATGACCCTTTTGCAGAAACTAGAGCACAACCTATTCTAAACAGGGAAGACCAATATAGAAGACAAAGGTTACAAAGAGCTATATCTCCTGCACGTCATGATCCTTTTGCCGATGGTGGTAAAACACCTGATCCTCAATTGGCGCAGTACAAAGATGTTATGACACACCAAGCTCTTACTAAAGAAGAACGGGAAATTAGATCGAAAATTACTGAAAAGCTGAAGTCTGGTGATGTCCATGTAAATGGAAATGCTAAAGCTGTTCAACCTAACGCTGCACCTGCTCAAAGAGAAAGAAAGAGGCGATGGGATGCAACTCCAACCCCTGATGCACCAAAAAAACGAATGACATGGGACCAGGCTGATGCTTCCACTCCTGGACATGCACCAACACCATTGCGATGGGATGAAACACCTGGCAGACCAAAAGGTGGCGAAACACCTGGAGCAATGGTAACACCAGGACAAAGTACCAGAATGTGGGATGCCACACCTGGTCATGCTACTCCAGGTGCTACAACTCCTGGACATGCAACCCCAGGCATCGGTGGTACACCGAGTGCAAGTGTAAGGAAAAACAGATGGGATGAAACTCCCAAAACGGAAAGAGAAACCCCTGGCAGAAATATTGGATGGGCTGAAACACCAAGAGCTGATCATGGAGACGAATCTGAGAGAATTCCTGGTGGTACCAGCAAGAGAAAATCAAGATGGGATTTGACACCAGCTGCTGCCACACCGGGAAGTCAAACACCGGGGTCTGCTACTCCAGTTTTTACCCCTGGAGGAACTCCAAGCGCATTCACCCCAAAATCAGGAATGGGAACACCAGGCTCTTTAGGAACACCCTCACTCTTTACCCCTTCAGGTGTCACACCCATGGGTACAAAAGCAATGGCTATGGCTACTCCAACTCCTGGTCATTTGATGTCCATGACACCTGAGCAACTTCAAGCATGGAGGTGGGAACGGGAAATTGATGAAAGAAATCGTCCACTATCTGATGAAGAGCTTGACGGAATGTTCCCTGAAGGTTACAAAGTTTTGCAACCACCAGCTGGTTATGTTCCTATTCGTACACCGGCAAGAAAAATTACTGCAACTCCAACCCCAATGGGAGGATCCACTGGGTTTCATATCCAGGTTGAAGACAAGTCGATGAAGGGAATTACTGATCAGCCGACTGGGAATCTGCCATTCTTGAAACCTGATGATATTCAGTATTTTGACAAACTACTTGTTGAAGTAGATGAATCAACATTGAGTTTAGAGGAACAAAAAGAAAGAAAAATAATGAAACTTCTACTCAAAATCAAAAATGGCACGCCGCCAATGAGAAAAAGTGCACTGCGTCAGATAACAGACAAGTCTCGGGAATTTGGTGCAGGACCTTTGTTCAATCAAATTTTGCCATTGCTCATGTCACCCACTCTTGAAGATCAAGAGCGTCATCTTCTCGTTAAAGTCATCGACAGGATTCTTTACAAGTTGGACGATATGGTTCGGCCATATGTACATAAAATTCTTGTCGTCATTGAACCACTTCTGATTGATGAAGACTATTATGCCAGAGTGGAGGGACGTGAGATTATTTCAAATTTGGCAAAAGCAGCTGGACTTGCTACTATGATTTCCGTAATGAGACCTGATATTGACAACATGGATGAATATGTGCGTAATACGACTGCAAGAGCCTTCGCTGTTGTCGCATCTGCCCTTGGAATTCCCTCCCTGCTTCCCTTTCTGAAAGCCGTTTGCAGGAGTAAAAAATCCTGGCAGGCACGTCACACTGGAATCAAGATTACACAACAGATTGCTATTTTGATGGGTTGTGCCATTCTCCCACATTTGAGAAACTTAGTTGAAATTATCGAGCATGGTTTGGAAGATGAACAACAGAAGGTAAGAACCATCACTGCCCTTGCTTTGGCTGCGTTAGCTGAAGCTGCAACACCTTATGGTATCGAATCCTTTGACAGTGTGCTGAAACCTCTCTGGAAAGGTATCAGAACTCATAGAGGAAAAGGTTTGGCAGCTTTTTTAAAGGCTATTGGGTACCTCATTCCACTTATGGACGCCGAGTATGCAAATTACTACACTCGTGAAGTAATGTTGATCCTGATTCGAGAGTTTCAGTCACCTGATGAAGAAATGAAGAAAATTGTACTTAAAGTGGTGAAGCAATGTTGTGGAACGGATGGTGTTGAACCCCAGTACATTAAAAATGAAATTCTGCCTCCCTTTTTCAAGCATTTTTGGAACCAGAGAATGGCTCTCGATCGCCGTAATTACAGACAATTAGTTGACACAACAGTTGAAATTGCAAACAAAGTCGGTTCAGCTGAAATGGTGCAACGGATTGTGGATGATCTTAAAGATGAAAATGAACAATACAGAAAGATGGTTATGGAAACTATAGACAAAATTTTGGTGAATCTCGGTTCAGCGGATATTGATCACAGACTTGAGGAGCAGTTGATTGATGGTATATTGTATGCATTCCAGGAACAGACAACAGAAGACATTGTGATGTTGAATGGTTTTGGTACTGTCGTTAACACCCTGGGTAAAAGAGTAAAACCGTACCTTCCACAGATTTGTGGTACAGTTTTGTGGCGACTCAATAACAAATCAGCGAAAGTTCGACAACAGGCAGCAGATTTAATTTCTCGTATTTCTATAGTGATGCGGACATGTCAAGAAGAAAAATTAATGGGCCATCTTGGAGTTGTGCTTTATGAGTACCTTGGTGAAGAATATCCAGAAGTGTTGGGTTCAATCCTCGGAGCTTTGAAGTCTATTGTTAATGTGATTGGTATGCATAAAATGACTCCACCTATTAAAGATCTTCTACCACGTCTCACACCGATTTTGAAAAATCGGCACGAAAAAGTACAAGAAAATTGCATAGATTTGGTGGGCCGTATTGCTGACCGAGGCGCTGAATATGTAAGTGCTCGAGAGTGGATGAGAATTTGTTTTGAACTATTGGAATTGTTGAAAGCACATAAGAAATCAATTCGTCGTGCAACTGTCAACACTTTTGGTTACATTGCAAAAGCCATTGGTCCACACGATGTTCTTGCAACACTTTTAAATAATCTTAAAGTTCAAGAAAGACAGAATCGTGTTTGTACCACAGTGGCTATCGCTATTGTTGCCGAAACCTGCTCTCCGTTCACTGTTTTGCCTGCCCTGATGAATGAGTATCGTGTACCGGAACTGAACGTACAAAATGGCGTTCTCAAAGCATTGTCATTCCTTTTTGAATATATTGGAGAAATGGGAAAAGATTATATCTACGCAGTGTCTACACTTCTGGAAGATGCTCTTATGGAACGTGATCTAGTTCACCGACAGATAGCGTCAGCAGCAATAGGACATATGTCACTTGGTGTGTATGGTTTTGGTTGCGAGGACGCACTTAATCATCTTCTCAACTATGTATGGCCAAATATTTTTGAAACATCACCTCATGTTATCCAGGCTGTCATGTCTGCTATAGATGGAATGAGGATTGCTCTTGGACCAGCAAGGTTGTTGCAGTACTGTCTGCAAGGACTATTCCATCCCGCTAGGAAAGTTCGTGATGTGTATTGGAAAGTATACAACAGCATATACATCGGAGCACAGGACAGTTTGGTGCCGTCATATCCTCGTTTTTATAATGACGAGAAAAATCAGTATCTTCGTTATGAACTTGACTATGTTTTGTAGTGACTCCATAAATACAATATAGAACTGCAAAACAAACAGATTCACAATATTGGTTGAAATTTTGTCATACCTTAAAGGTCATGGTCATAAACAGGTCATAAACTGTTGCATGGTCGTTAAATACTTTGAAGGCAAAGTTTGAAGTCAGTGGCATACTAAAAATGTATGAATTTTCTGTCTCATTGAATCCTAACTGATATGATGTGAATATTTTCAATGCAAAAAAACTTCCCCAAAAATAGGCAATTTTTCCTGAACTTTTAAAACATTAATTTAGTTTGATTATTATCTCAGGCATAAATAAACTTTAGCCCCTCTGATAAATGTTCCTAGCAAGTTTTCGATCTTGTAACATTCAGAGATTACCAATACATACCCTATTTTCAAGTTGCGCCATCATCTGGAGAATTGTGTCATATCACAGATATTTCTTTCAAAGCTAACCACAATTCACTGTACAAAGTTCTTTAAAAAAAAAAAAGATTTTGATGTTATTTATTCAAATCATCAAACAATTAGTGTATTTTCCTTGGTAAATTATTTGAGCATTTCTTAATTTAAGAATGTGGTGATTATCTATCATAAGTGGGTTCAGGAATGATGTCGAGCTTTTAGATTTTTACATGTACATATTTTTTAATCTTTGTTTTGTCGAGTACCAAATATTTCTGGAGTAGTGATAACTGACAAAAATATCTTTCAGATTCTTGGTTTACATATTTACTGGATTTTTTTTATGTATGGAACTGAAAATGATTTTTACAAATATTTTTGGCGTTGGTGAATGTCTCTTACCAAACAAATTCGCTTTGATAGGTTTACAGTTTGTGGGAGTGTTTTTGAGAACTGTCATAAGTCTCCAGAAAATAAGACTTGAGTTTTTTTGTATTGATATTGTATTAGAATTTCAATCATTTTTGAACTACATCACAGTGAATTAAGCTAAATTATATTTAGGGCATAATAATGGCTTTATTTGGTGATTTCACTCATTTTTTTCATTATACTAGGTTTGCTAAATTAATCTTTGGTTTATGACTGCTCTGCAGTGACTGGTTTGATGAATTATATGGCGACCCAATACGTATCTTCGACCAAACAATATTAATGGACAGTTCTACTGCCGAATTAGATTTCAATCCCAATCAATGCGACTTATTAGTCGCATCTCGTTGTCTGCTTAATAGTCCCTCTGGAAGATAAATAATAAAATGTACAGTTGGAACTTTGTATTGTTATTTATTGATGGAAAAGAAGAAAGATTTGGTGCTAGGAGAAGAGATTAAAAGTAGGCTAGGCTACATCAGTCAATGTGATACTGGTTGAGGTTGATGAAACGTAAAAAAATGAGCTGAGGAACTGGAGCCTTAGGCACACATTCTTTAACCGGGCTGTGTATTCACATCTTATGCTCTGCTTTTCATAATGCATTACTCAAAACAGGCCTTGGAATTAGGAGTACATCAATCATGCAACACTGGTTAGATTAATGACTTCGGGGACAGGCCTTTAAACAACGCCTACTTTTACACAAGTGGATTATGCAGATTGCGTGCCACTGCCAAAGCCAAATTTGGGAAAGAGTGTTACTGATTAAAATTTGATAATCATAGGGACTGTGAGGCAAGACTTTCTCTAGTCCCACTCACCATGACTACTACTGAGTAAATTACCATTAATTAATTTGCTTTGTTGGCTAAAAGGATGTTTTCTCTTAGAAGACCAGGATAGAAGTGTTCTAAGAGTCTTTGAAGGGGAACATGGATCATGAATGAAATTTTAAGAACCACTGATCTAACCCCACTTGATACTTCATATTTTAGAAATCGTTCAACATGACCTAAGGGAATGTATCATACACCAGTTAGGTGTGGAATTTATAGCAACAGCAAATATCTAACCAGACCAAGAACCACCATTTTGACACGAATCACACTTAATTTGATTGCCTGTCACGATTTGTAACACCGATTCAACATGGAAGTTCAAGTGGTATTTTGCCTAACAAACGCTTAAATACATATCACTCAAATTCCAATCTACCTGCATTTGGTCAATAATAAACAAGTGAAACAGTGAACAAAAATATTTATTTGAACTAAATCATGGAACATGCAAATGTGCCACCAAATAGAATTGGTACAATTAAAACATTTGCTAAATTTTATACTGATTTTGTAAAATTAGTATCAACAAAAGGTGTGTCTAAACGTAACAAATATTCAGTTACAATCAAAATTTAATAACTGCAGAATATTTAATGTAAGAAATAACCGGTTTTGATATTCGAAAAACAAAAATGTTAGAATACCTCAATTTGAAAATATAATTCCCTAGAACGCTACAAGAGATTTTCAATTGCAAATCAATCTAATATATCCTCACTTTATATCTATAAATAATGAATATTTTTCTCTTTCAACTTTTTGAGTCATGCATGACACACTTTATTTCTGGCTCACAAAGAATTGTTTGCAGTTTGGGAAAATCTTCTCGACCAGTTCTCACACTGATTCACTCTTTTACAAATGCATGAACCTTCTAATTAATTTGTTAATCCACGAATAGCAACGCTGATAGTGATTTTGTACATTCATAAATCTTTGGAACCGATGAATACAAGGCCCCAGTAGTTTCAACAACTTTTTCTGCACCGAGATCATTAGCGTCTTTTATAAATCTATCATCTCCAGTTAGTAGGGTTCCCAAGCAAACTAAATATCTGAAAATAGCTTCAGGATCCGAAGTATGTTCCCCAGCAACCAGATGAACAATAGCAATCTCGACACATGATGATCGTACTGCAGCGCACAATTTCTCCACAATCGGTGAAAGTATTTTATTTTTTGTTGAACTATTTGACACCAACACGGCGAAGTTTAGAAGTAATGTAGCAGCAGCAATTTGGACATTTTTATTCCCATAGAAAGGTGCCTTATTTTCATCAAGGCCGCTAGTAAATCCTGCAGACAGAGCTTGGAAAATGTCTTTATAACCAGCTGTTAGGAATGCTGAACCATCAGGTGATTCAAATAAATTGCATAATGTTCGAAGACTTAGAAGCCTGTTTGCATTGACGTGTTTTTCATTTCCAGTGGCTGAGATGAGAAGGCACAACATTTCCAAAAGTTTCTGAGGTCGGACGTCTTCATCATTTGCTCCAGTGCACAATATCCGACAAGACTCCTCTTGTCGCAAACATGTCAAGCGTAAAATATCCAACGCGGGAAACATATTTTCTGAAAGAAGTATATTTAAATACGAATTAAACCTAAGTTTAAATTTTTGTGCATATTGACGTCTGCTTTTGCTTGAAAACAATAAGTTGTTATTTATTCCCATAATGGATTGGGCTGGTAATGTGGCCAGCCACGTTAACCACAATGGCTCTCTTTTTTTCCTGAAATTATTTACAAAATACTCATCCACCTAAAACTTATTTAGAAAATATTGTATGTTTCAACTTGCCTGCGGGCCAGCTCAATACTTTCCAAAGCACATTTAAATTTGATGGTTCCAATTTATAATCAGGCAAAGTGAGCGATTTCAAACATTCCAGATCAGCTTCTAACAATTCTCCACATTTTTCAGAAAATGATTTCAGTTTCCCTGGAAAAGTAGGAAATTTTTTCATTATGTTATGGAATATAGTCAACCTTGAATATATATATATGATTGAAAAGCCAATTTGGCAATTTTACCAAGAAAAATGCCTTGAAAGATTCCATATCTATCTCGAAATGAGAAAAAACGTTGGGCTGATCTTACCTAATATTGCATCTATATTTGCATTGTCAAAAGTAATGAATCCTTCTTTTGGAAAATATTCCTTCACTGTTTCAATTTGTCGAGGTTTGAAATTAACGACAACATTATCTGAAGTATCCATTTCTTCATCTCCCGGTATATACCTGAAATTGTCAATATTAACAGATCAAATAGCTTGTCAGCATATCTATAAGGAATATATCTATATTATCTACATCTTGTGCATTGTCGAATTTCTAGGTGATTTACTGACAGTATTGGCATGAATTTAAGTTTAGTGGCAATAGCTAGAGTTGTCTAATACTCTAACGACAGAATAAATAGTATGTTTTGTAGTATTTTGCAACCAGCATCACAAATATCAAGTAATAAAAAGATATCAATGACCAAATATGTATACAATGTATAAGTAAAAGTTTCTATCGTTCAAGATAGACGTAAGTTTGATCGAGTGTCTAGTATTTTCGTCGCTGATAAATTTAAAAAAAAGTTGCCGCATCTGGCGAAGATAGTGAATTATTGAGTTTAATTAGGGCCAAGTCTGTGTAGATAATGATGTAACAATATTCATAGAAAATAAATTCGTCTTTAGATGTTATTACCTAATAACTAAGTACACCATTTTCTGGAATACAAAGTTATATCGCAATACGCGAAAATCTGTCACATTTGAATTTCACTCTCAAAAGATTACATATTTTTCCGTTCGTTCCTACCGTTCAAGATAGGCGTACGTTTGATCGAGTGTCTGTAGTATTTCAGTCGCAGATAAACTTAAAAAAAAGTTGCCGAAACTGGCGTAGTGCTGTATTGAGCTCAAATAGGGCCAAGTCTGGTTAGATAATGCTATGTAACGATAATCATAGAAAAGGAATTAGTCTTTAGATGTTATTACCTAATAACTAACTACGAAATCGCGTTTACGGGAAATTTGTTTTGCAAGTCTTGCTCGCACAGAAATAAAAATTTGATTTTGATTGATAGTGGGTAAATTTAATATTTTACAACGGCCCGCATAGGTTCCACTATTTGAATAAGTATGAAAATAAAATAGGATTCGGTATTCTGGATTCGATTTAACTATTCTAGAATAGTAAATTATTCTACATTGCCCATCCCTAGTTATGCAATTCTTCCATTTTAACTTTGAAGTGAGAATCTGACCTGTTAGGATTGATCATAGGGTCTGCTGCTGCACCACCCCCTAATTTCACATCACTTTCTCCACTTTCCGGTACATATCTACCACCTCCTGTGAATGGGTCTTCACCAGTGCCATTCATTGCAGAGGAATTTGAATTTTCTGCAACATATCGACCACTGCCTGTAAATAAAAATCATTATTTTTTACAATGTGGCAACTCAGTGGAAAGAAACACTACTTACATAACACCATCAAAACGAAGTTGATTTTAAGAACACTGATCGCTTTATTTCCTCATTTGTGCTCTCGATTGAAATAAAAAAAAACTAAACACATCCTATGGAGATAATCATGTTTTTAAAATATAGTCCCCTGAATTTTTATACACAAGATTCCATGCCTTTAGAGAACTAGCAGATTACTTTTAGAAATCAATAAAATGAAAGCTATTAAATAAGTTTCTGTGTGCATAATTAGTGACAAAAGACTTTTAGTGTGGCATATGACTTGTATATACAGAGGAAAAGTGGTTATATCATGCTGCATAACATTCAACTCATGGAAATTATTTGAGTGAAAAAAGATAGAAAGTATAGAAAAGCAAATCACAAACCAGTATATGGATCCTGTCCTCCAACTACATTAGACTCTGTATCACCAGGCACATATCTTGTACCACCTGATAACAGAAATGGTGAAATATTTAGAAGAAAGGTTGGATGGAATATAACGCCATGTATTGTGTTTGAAATAAGCCAGGTAAATACATACCGTACATATCTCTATCAATTTTCAAAAAATGCCACCATATGTTAAAAACCTCAAAATAGAGGTTGTTGGTGTTATTGTAAGCAAATAAAATTAATTACAGCAAGAATATCATGTATAAAAATTTGATAAAACTGTTCAATATCAGCACAAGACTTCAAGACATTGAAGGTGTCTGTCGTAGTTAACAAAAGAACTGGTTATGGCTACTTATTCTATCACCAACTATTAAACTCATACATTCAAAATGAGATTGCACAGAATTATGTTCAGACTACTTTTTTGTTGTGTTGTATGCAAGTTTTTAGAAGGGCACCACCAATATGTAAGAATTGGAAACAACTGGTCCAGGGAAGATTGATCATCTCTGTATATAAATTAAATAAATCTACTCTAAATATAAAGTGCAATGTTATTCTAATTTTGAGAGAAATGGAATAGAGAATACATTATTTTGCATATCACTTTGTGCTTTTGACTAAATAAAGAACCACAATGAAAAATTATACCTGTGAACGGATCATAGGCTGCAGGTGCACTTGGTTCTTTTCCACTTTTACTCCTTGCCTCCTTCGTATTATCCATAATAAAGGTGCAAACTTGATCGAGAAAATCTTGACTCAGTTCATTATCATCTATAAATTGTTGAGCAGCAAACCATGGATCTTCATCAAGATTGTAAGGCAGTTTTAGAGTAGGGGCACCTTCCTGTATATCGACGTCAAACACAAAATCATATTCTCTGCCTGAAATTGAAAAGAAACTAAGGATAGGTTTTCTTGATATGGAATACTTATTTCACTAAACTGAAACCCCATAAGGTCTGCATGTTACTATTAAAATTTTTTAATTTTCAAATAGCAACGCAGGGTATGAATCCCGAAATCCCAGAGTCACGTCAGAGTCCCGAATCCTCAGGTGGTTATGCAATTCTGAGTTTTTTCGCTGAGATGACTCAAGTCACATGAATTGTTTGAAAAAACTGACTTGAGTCGAGTTAATGACTCCGAGTCTCCCAAACACTGCCAAAATCCAAAATGAGTGGTTGCAAAGTATTGATAAAAAAAAAACTTAATAATGGGAACGCAATGACCAATCTTGCAGCTAAACAACTCATTGAATAGTCACCAATATTTTCAACACCTAACACAGTCACACTCACAACATATGTCAACTTACAGTATAGTATATGTCATATAAGGATTACATAGGATTCTTCAAATATATTTCTTCAGAGAGAGGGAAGCCAAAAGGTGGCTAAGTTATTTGGTGAATGACTGACTTCTTGACCAGTTGCCAGTCCTGCTTTAGTATGAAAACAAATAACCAATTACCATATACTTCCAAAACCATAGGCTATTAGGACAGAGGAAGCTGTAACAGACCAGCAGTAATGTAATCTGCCCTGCCTTTCTTTTGTTCAAAAAAGGTTCAAACCATGAAAACATCAATATCTTACCATTATATGTTTTCTTAGTGTTCTTTGCACTGACAACATCTCCAACTTTTGTCCACTGAGCGGAAGATTGATTCCATTGATGAGCTTCCACTTTGTCATTATTTCTAACCATGATAACTTGACCATCTTTAGTACCTTTGATACAAAGAATTGAAGGATTGGATTGGATAGCTCCAGTATATAATATCAACATGTGCGTAGTTGTTAGAGCCTTGGAACCAATTATGTTGACTTTGCTTGTGAAAGATCTTGGGTTCAATGTTTCCATGCGCTCCACCTCACCCATGATGTACCAAAACTGGGCAGGCTATGCAGAACAGAAAGATTCTGGTTCTTTCAAACCTATCTTTTTAGGTATTTGGTAGAATCATATTAGGTAACAATGTAGTTTTATTTGATTATCACTCCTAAATTGATCTTATGGCCAAATATATGTGACATTTCCATAGAATAAGATTTATGCAGAATGAGAATCCAAGTTTTAAAAGGTAGACAGCAAACTTTTTCACAGCTCTATGCTTTGTAAAGAAGGAATAAAACATCCAATACCTGGGATTTGAAGAGCTGATATATCTTTAATATTTTTCTCGTCAATATCACTGATTCCGTCATCAGATTTTTTCAAGCTTTCAGACAGTTCAATTTCATAAGCAGCAGTATTTGCTTCAGATGCGATTCGAGATTCAAGTCTGCTAAATACTCTCATGGTACTATCACTTAGAGCTATCACAAGATCCTCATTCTATAAGAAAAACAAAAAGGAATAGAAACAAGTCTTAGCGTAAAAGTTATGCTAAAGGGAACATAGTACGAAACACTAAATAAAAATGTATTGCTGGAAAAGATAAATCAATGTAATGGTAACATAGAAATTGAATCAATAATTTCAAGAAAATATTTGGACATTTTTGGAAATACTTTCAACATATCTATACAGTACATTGAGTATATAGTATATACATAGTATATATACACTCAAAAATTTAATACTGCTAACCCCAAGTACAGTGATATCCCAAGCACTCTGTGCAGGTAATGGTATACTTTGGATTGCGTCTTTTTTCTCTAAATTCCACACTCTTACAGAACGATCTTCCCCACCAGTGACAAATTCTGAAAAACAATATAAATAGTAAGAGTACTATGTTAAGAATACAAGTCAGGAATAGGATTTACATATTTATCCCGTGGTGAGGAATGCCGATAAGCGTAACGGCTTAACTATATGGTGAACCACGGCCTCTCCTCCTATTACCAGTTCAAGTCAGGTATGGAATTAGATAGTTATTTGTTTTTCGAGAGCATGGACTTGATAGTGGAGTCCAGCAATCCTCTCGCACCATCCCTGCAGGCTGCATGGGATTCAAACCTGCGAACCCACGCAGAGTAATCAGAGGTGCGGTGGCAAGCGTATTCAAAACGCTTAGCACAATGAACCACACTGCCACGCCCTCACTGTGAGGTTATTGAAATATAGAAATAACGAACCATTCCCTCCAGGCAACATAGCAATTGAGTAAATGAAGCTTGTATGACCATAGTACACTTGTAAACACTCCCCTGTAGTTGTCCATCTTCTCACCGTGGCATCATTTGCACAGGATAAAAACTGGCAAGCTGATACCATTGCCAGTCCTCGAACGCAGTCCTCATGGCCTATATTTATACAAAAAATAAAATATATTTTAAACTGGGTCACATTCAACAAAAAAGATCTAGAAGTAGATTTGGAAATGGAGAAAATTTATGATAAACAGTAATTGGATTGGTTTTCCATTTTGCAGAATAGTTTTCAGAAATTAAATGTCAGGCCTTTGTGGTTACACAGTGAGACTTCAATTTTTCAAAATTATCAATTTTCAAACTATTCTGCATCATACCAGGAATCTAGAATTGAAAATTCTGAATACAATTTATTCCAAATTGATTCACACAGACACACAAAACTTCAACACTTAGGTTACATAAATATCAAGTTTTGTATATGAAAAAGACCTGGATGATAATGTGGTCATGAATTACTGATTACTGTAGTAAACTTGCATCTTTATACCACTAGTGTCCCACGACCTGCCTACCTGTAAATGTATGAACACATTTTCCTGCTTTCCACAATTTAATAGTTTTGTCGGCTGAGCCTGTAACCATAACACCTTGCTGCAATAAGAGAGCAGCCCAAACTGATGCAGTGTGACCTTGCAATGTTAATACATTGTTTCCATCTGCAAAAATTACCATACATCACACATAAATACCAAGATATGTCAGACAGATATGTCAGATTACCTTCAAAAACAGTCATAGAAATATAAGCTTGGATCAAACCTCAAAACATACAGCACATTTGAGTACACAACACTGTGTACATGCATCATCAATTCAATAAGATGAAATGAGCAAGAACTTCTAAATTTGGCTTGCTAACTTAAACTTGCATGTTGAAGAAAAAAATTCTATAATTATTGAATTCACCTAAATTTTACTATCTTCATACTAATTGATATATTCCTTCTACATTATCTTTTGCAAAAGAAAAATTTGAGTTACTCACCAATATTCCCACTTTCATCTTTTTTATAAACCCAAACACGAGCTGTCTTATCCCAAGATCCACTGATGAGCATGTGGAATTTACCAACAGAGAGTGTGCACACTATGAAGAAGATAAAGAACATGAGAGGTTGCAGATGTTATAATGATGAACAGAGATAAAACAATGCCACAGATGAAAGACAATTTAAGACACTGAATGTCACCATACACTAGGTGAACAATTTTGGGGTGATATATCTAGATCATTTTGAAACATCTTCACAATCTATTTGGGCCTATAACTGAATAAAATTCTGAGACCATTTCAGATCAGTCACAATTTGCCTATGGCTGCATATATTAGATCAAGTTATATTAAACAAAGCCAGGGATGTGTAAAACAAATAAAATATTTGAATTCATTCAAAATGAATTATATTCAATATTTTAAATTCTTGTTTTCGTAAAGAAATAATTCTGAATACTCCTCTTGGAAATAGTCTCAAAGTATGACAAATAAAGCCACTGTTTATTTGAAACTTTCCTGCAAAACTAACTCATTGTAAATAAAACCATTCTATGCATTCTTAGTTGAACATGACAAAATTTGGAACCTATCAATATCCTATATTCGAGAACGCATCCGAAATAGTATATCCATATCCCAGTGCTGGTTGCCTAGAACTTCTAAAGAGTCAGTAAAGAAAAGAATTGAAAAAAATAATTATTTCAGAGTTCAATAATAGGAAATTGTACCATTATCTGTGTGGCCCTTCATCTCAAATACTGCCTTAGTTGATGATGGACGAAAGGCCCTGATAATCTTATCACTTGATCCTGTGAATATAAGTCCTTCAAGATGATCTTCCGATGGTGCTACAGCAGCAATGCATGATACAAAATTTGTGTGATCTTCGAATGCTTGAGCTTGATGATATCCTTTTCCATCGCTTTGAAAAAAGTTATTTGCGATCAGAGAAGGTACAATAAATAAAAGATTTTATCATCCAAATACAATTTGAAAAACCTTGTTTAATGAATCAATATATATATATATATATTTTACATTCATTTTAAACTTGACAACTGTCAAACATTAAATGTTTTAAATTCTCAATGGAGCAATATACCTCACTATTCAATATCAAAACAGTTCAAGTTTCATGACTTAAACAAGATAATCATTAGATTAGTTAAGGGCAGTTTTCTGCTATCTACTTCAATTTCTGAATTTGGTTTCAAGTTAATTGTCGGTGCTAAACACAATTAAAAAAATGGGCTGTCATTATGTTACTTCATTTAAAATGGTTATGTTTACTCCCCAAAAATGTGAACGATATCTTATTCTAGTCAGGTTTCTAGGTTACTTACCTGTCTTGCTCCCAGAGCCTGGCGGTGAAGTCCCGTGATCCTGATAAAATTCCCAACGATGAGAACGGGGAAGGCTGAACCCCCCTAACATCAGAATTATGGCCATATATCGAACAGGAGTATTTGTACATAGATGCCATATTGTCTACTCCACTGAGGAATATATGACGCCCTAAAACTATGTTTTTAATGCTTTGTCTTGTGTCGATCGACGGATAGAAGGAAGATTAATCAGCGCCAGAACTGCAGAACACAACTTATACTTCAGCAATCCTTGCTCGTTTGTGTTTTGAACTTATAATGACGCATCATAGATACATTTGCTGATTCACGTCACGCAACAAGAACGAACGAAGCGAATCGGCACTTCGCTTATCGCGTTGATCATGCAAAGTATAAATGAATACCGACGGTGAATTGTCTGCACATGCCTCATCGAGAAAAAAAGTTCAAGAGAATCAACCAATACTACTTTTTTTGTTGGAGTCTAAATAACAAGTTGTCGGTGACGTAACAATTAAAAATCTTATCATCCTGGGACACCTTGTAAATGAGAGCCTATCTTCAGCAGGCGGTCCTGGACTGTGATGATTCTGTGGTATTATGAAGGTTTATTTAATTGTATTTTTATAGTAGATGTACGGGAATCAGTAGCTTTAGAAAGTGTTTGCAGTAGAACCCGAAATATGATTGAGAATTAGATTTAGAATAAAAAACATGACAACAGTAGCGATGGGAAATTGACGGGTAAGAAACTACGGAAGACCCAAATTAAATAGCTAAATTAGGTGCACGATTGATTACTTTATAGAGTGTCAGTCAACCACATATTGACTGAGAGATGGGAAATAGCACGTACGTAAGAAGTAATACACCGCCGAAAGTGCTTTTAAGAAACCAGTCTGTAGTCACATGTATAAGATGAAACCGTAGCAGTAGACTCTAACTACCGTAGTTTATATTACGGTCCAGCTGGAAATGTCGACTTGAGAGCTTAGTCCGTAAAAGCCTATTATTCCCGACATCCTCAACGTTAGAGTCTGCGAAACGCTGACAATCGCAGAATCGGTATTAGCTTGTTTCTTTTTTCAACATGCTGAAAATACCCAATAACGAAACATCTTGTTCGCAAACTCAATGATTGTGTCCATAAAAATGCTTACTGTTACAGCATAATAATGTAATATTAATAGTATATGAACCTCAGTCCGTAAAGACTCGAAAATTTCGTCGACAGATGTTCATACATACATCTCATAATGTCTTCAGGTTGTAAAAAATGCTTGAGCAATGGTATCATCATCCCAAAGAATGTGAATTCTCCGTTAGGTCAGTTTATTTCATGATTTGCACAATAGAATCTTAATACACGATAGATAATATTCATTAACTAATATCCATGTCCATTTGACCATGTTGGCTTCAATTTTATACACGAGGTGTGGAATCGGCTCAGCTATGCTTTTAATTATATTTAAAATGAGTCTAGTTTTATCAATTTGAAAAGGTTATGGGCATTTACGTAGGTCGTAGTAGCAAACTACTACTATTCTCAAACTGCACTTACACAAAAGCAATCCCTAAACCCATTTACTACTTTCGTATCGATTCTCTGTGGATTCCTATTGTTGGTATGATCGAGCATACCAAGTAAGAATAAAAGGCAGTTGACACATCAACACGTATGCATTATGCAATTGTCTTCATGTTTCATATTTAGATTATTGGAGCACCATCTGCCCATACGCCCCGCCAGTAGCCCCTGGCATATCAGTTGCAATTGCCAAGAAAACGCAGCCAATGCCAGGAATGGCAAATTATGATGACTCTGATCACGATACCATGTGTGGCAATCGAATGCACAGATGCCCGTCAGGTCTATTCCGAGCCAAAGCATTTTGCGCTAACCAACAAGCAATGGTGGATAGCTTGCGAGAAAAGGTGGAAAGATACAGGAGCGAAATCGAACATACAATTAAAAAAGAAATAACTACAGGTTTATGATTTTCCATGCTCACATGTTTATATAAACAAAACTGATTGCGTGAATATTGGAAAAAACAGATTTTTTTCATTTAAAACACTATAAATGAATATTCATTGTGACGCCATAGTGTATTCGTAAAAAGTATTATGCCGTCATAAATGAGAGTTTCAAATCCACGAAATCGTAGTAATAAACGAATATATTTGAAAATTACTCGAATTGACACATCCCCAAGCCAGAGTGTGCTGGTACAGGGGTCCTCAAACTATTCGGGTTGTAGAGCCCGTTAGGAGATTGACTATTATTTACGGAGTTCCATAATAAATTTATAAAAACAACTAACGAAAAAATTGTTATTCGCCGAATAATGTTCTTGAGTAAACTAAAATTACTTTATTTAATGACCCGGATCTCTTGTATTTAAAAATATTCAATATTTCAATAAGTAAACGAATAGCTCGCGGAGCCCCTAGTTTTCTCTCGTGGAGCTCCTGGTATTTTCTTGCGGAGCTATGGGGCTCCGTATGGAGCATTTTGAGAACCTATGTGCTAGTAGGCATGACGTAACAACACTACGACCTAAGTTCATTATGTCTTTTGGTTACTTGGCTATTGCATAGGACTTTCGAAATAAAATTTCAAAAACCCGATGTCGGGTATCAAACTCATCAAGAGAAATTCCAAGCACCTTATTTCGATTGAATTATTCATTTATTAATTTTACTTGGATTGATTGGTATTGTTCAAATTTTATTAGGTCAAATTTCATTAACAGAGACGTCAAGTTCGAATACCTTCATCAGATATAAAAGTAAGAAAAAGCGAGGATTTAAAATACGTGGTTCGAAAAGCGACGTAGGCGGTGATATGAAGCTTTGTAATGACCAATTGGGACAGGAGAAACCGAATATTATAGAAAAAAATTCAGAACCCGATAAAGCGCAAGGAGATCTAGCAAGAGGTAATGATTACTATTCTCGAATATTAGGAAAATTTATAAACAAAAATGATGATCTATAGCTAATGGTAAATTAAAACTGTCCTTAATTGTCTCACAACTTTTGTAGAAGGTTAAACCCGATCAAAAGGGACATTGGATAGGATAGGATTTACATATTTATGGTGATTCATACATGACAGGGGTGGCCAACACGTCGATCGACCGGTCGACTGATGTTGAGTGAATTAATGAAAGACCCCAAAAAAATCGCCTTGAACCAGTTGTGTGTTTTAAAACAGGAGTACTGTACATGCGAAAAATACAATATACACATACAGTAGTATTTGATTCTGGGCAAGCTCAGTCCTAACAAATGTAAGTTTTGCCGCTGCCGAGGTTTAAAAATGAAGTGCCGAATATCGCGTGTCTTGACTGACAAACGATCCTACAATAATTACTGCAGTATGCGAAAGTTATTGTCTCCCTCCAAAAGTAGTGAGATCAATTTCAGTCGCAATGGTAGCAGGGGCATCACAATGCGCAATTTTTTCTAGTTCCAAGCGAGCGAAGAATCGCACTTGGAGGTAATTGTAAATTAGATACTGTCTGAGAAGTCATGTAACATTCATGGTTTGAGAATATTTATTTTTTGCTGTTTAGATTATACATGAATACTTGGCAAGGTTTCTTAAAGAATTTTCAACACGTACGGCTAAAAATCTGATTTGTATGATTTAAAAAAATCTTAAATAAATGATGAAACATTTACTCCGGGTTCAATTAAATAATCAAATCAACAACTTAAATGGAACAAAAAAATAAAAAATTTGTGTCGATTTTATCAAGAATCCGCCCAAAAAGCCTGCTTATTGGCAGTGGTGGAATTTTTTATGCTTGTGTGCAGTTATCTGTGTATTCATTACCCATTCGTCTTTGTGCAGGACCCTATTACCGATCAGTCGATCGCGAGCTATTTTAAAGATTTTAGTCGATCGCGGTCGAAAGCAGGTTGGCCACCCCTGATATATGGTATCAACAATTCCTACTCCCCACACACCCGCCATATGTTGCCTTTGCCCTACTAGAGCAGGAACGTAGCCTAAATTCCTTACACTGGAAGGCGGACGATAAATTTTTAAACGCGCAACCTTCTTTGCATGGTAACCTGTTATAATACGGGTTGGTGGAAGTTTTTCTCGTCATGGCTCTAGTTAACAGACTTATATATTAAAGCTGTTCCTATTTTCATATTGCTAAAAGAAACAAGACAAAACTGAAATTCGACTAACTACCAAAACGGTTTAATGAAAAGTATCTATATGCTATGTTTTTAAACTAGTAGTGATCCGCCAAAGTCGCTTGGCGCCTGCCAGTGAAAACGGTATGTTATGAAATTAATGTCACATCCATACTTCCAGCGCGGATGGAATTGGATATTGCAATCAAATATTCGAAAACTGAAAACAGTGACGCTGATAAATGTGACACGAAATCGAAGAAATCTCGAAATAAACTCCGATCAAAGGCTTGGAAGCAAAAGAACGATGCAGATGACCAGAACTTGGTAACCCCAATATCAGTACCAAGCTTTAACGCACGGATGGGATTATTCGAAAAATAAATATTTATATACTTAATACAACGACTTATCCATCCGATTTGCGGATGTACGCGGCTGGCGTACAGGCGCGCGGTCGTCAGTATGTTAAAATGTAAAATATAGATATGTTGTTCATCATTTTCATTTAATTCTGCATTTAAATAAAAGACTATTAATAGAAAGACCAGTTCAATTCTGAAAAAAGGTGAAAAAACTTAATAGTGCAAATCGTCATAAGGCGAAACAGTTCACCACAAAGCCGAAACACGCACGCTCAGTGTGTGCCGTGTAACCTGAAATTTCAGCTACCCGTAAATATGATAAATTATTTCAGCTTACAATCCATTCGAAATAGTAGATTCATTCCTATTTATTTATTATAACTGAAAAATACGCGCAGCCCTGCCACATTATGGTTCTCGCAAGTCTTTTCAGATGTCAATAAAGACAAAATGGAGATCACTTGAAACGTGTTTGTTTATTATAACAAGCAAATATAACACGAAAAATTTCATAAAAAGTGCAACAAAAAGCATGAATTTGAATGATGAAATTTATTATTCTTGGTGTATGAGAAAGTTCTTCGTGAAAATATTGCGAAAATACAGATAGCGAGATAAGATATATAAAGAAACTGAAAAAATTCACGAAATCCAGCACTAGTTCAAGGTGTTCTGTTACACAATAGATCAAGAAGTTAGATCCCAGACAGAGCAAGATGTATGACGGATACAGAAGGTTGGTAACATAGTACCTCAGGTCAGAGTCCTGAAACTAGGTTAACCCTTCCCATTCAATATTATGAACTATGTGAAAAACAGAGATCACATGAAGGCGACTGAACATGCAAATTTAAATATGACACAATAAAGTACTATCAATTTCAGCTAGCAATTAACTTAAGTTCAAGAGCATCAAGCGTTTGTTGAACTTGTTTTATACATGCTTTTCGCTTTGACCGCACATTTTCATCTCCAAAAGATTCAATACAGTCCAACTTCAATAAAAGTTTTGTCAATTGCTCTTCTAAAGTTAGATATTTCTTATCCTTTGATGTCACTTCAATTACGTCGACTTGTGTACCAACAGTCCTTGCTTCATCAGCTATTTTTTGTATAGATTCCAGAGCAGCAGTAATTCTCGGATCAACCCACTGTTCTTTGGGTTTTGGCGCAGGTGGCTTAGGTTGAGTGTATGTGTCACCCTGCTCAGTATAAGAAGTGCTCGGCTGTGCTGCTTGAGCTGTAGGTTGTGGTTGGGGCATTGGCATTCCAGCTTGAACAGGAGTCGACATGGTTGGTTCTGGGCTGGGATGCTGAAATTAAAAATATATTGCTGTTTTATAAATAAATTATTTTCGATTACATGAGCATTCAAATTTAGCAAAAGATATTTACTTTTTAGATAACTATACAAAAATAATATTGTAAATAATTTTAAAATTATTACTCACCTGTGGTTGAGTTACATGATTTTGCATTCTTGGTTGCCTCTGAACTGGCCTGGCTGTACCCTGTTGCACATTTATAGGCACTTCTCTTGCCTGAAACAAAAATAGAGATGATTAATATTTAGTAAAAGCACTCTGCATGCATGGAAGCTACATCAAAGCAGTATAAGGCAAATGGATTTGTTTGATATTTAATGAAATTTGCATGTGATGAAAATGCGCCGTGATTGCCAGCTTGCTCTGAAGAATGATGATTGGCCAGCTTGCTCAAACCAAGATGCATCACACTCTCCTCCAGTACCTGATTTGATGACAAGGGGACTTTACTCGCTTGAGCTGTTGATGTGTTAGCAACTTTTATTGGTATTACTCTTCGTGGTGCGGGTGCAACTCTTTCCTTGTGCTTTGCCATTTCCTCATCATGTGACATTGAACGGCTAATAACAACCTTCTCAGACTTTTCACATGTATTCGGGTCTGTGTCTTCCATCAAATTTGAAGACTTATCAATCAAAGGCGAATCTTGTTTCATTTCCAATTTTTGATTTCCTTCGCATTCATTCTGTTCCTCCTCAATCTGTGATTCCAAGCATGATGGTTGCACATACGACATTGGGATTGGTGTTGTGTGATCATCCGATACTATGAGAGATGTTTGTTTTCGAATGGTGGGGGTCTTCATTTTAGGTTGAGGACTTTTATCCTTAGCATCTTCTATCTCCTCAGGTATACTGTCATCAAGAGAATCATATGGCATCGGTATTGGGGTGGTGTGATCGTCAGACACAATTAAAGATGTTTGTTTCCGAACCACTGGGCGCTTTGATGTTTCTGCCAAATTCTGTGATTCAGTTTCCTGTGGTGATTCCGAGACATCCGTTTTTGAGTTGCACTCATCAGCCACTTTATTTTCGATTGGAGTATCTAATACTGCCATTTCTTTTGGCATTTTCTCAATATCCACATTACTTTGCAAATAACTAGGTGGCGAAACATATTCACCGTGTTTCTTTAAAGGGACATGTTGAACTGGAATTTCAGTAAGATTTCTTACCATTTCAGCAGACCGGTGCATTTCGTTGTTCACAGGCGCTGTTGTATCTCTGTGTTGTTGACTATGAGAAACACCACTCGGTTGTGGTATAGGCATCTGCTGAAACTGACGCTGATATTGCTGTGCAGTTGGCTCATGTTGAACAGGTACTTGTATGCGTTTGGGTTGCTTATTTTGTTGAGGCAGTTGATTGTTCTGATAACGATAAAATTAATTCTAAATTATAATACTGCACTTAAGAAGGAATTTAATAAAAATTCTTAGAAAATGGAACCTACTGTTTTAACCCTCGCTGATACCGATAAAGACGAAATAGGTTGATAAAAACTCATATACATAAATAGGTATATTTACCGTAAAAGGGCTTTCGTCCTCGTCTTCAAAATAGCGATTAATAAATTGAGGCCGTTTCATTTCAAACATGTCAAAGTATCTGGGAAAGGCGAGCATCTGTCTCGAATAAATTTAAACTACGCTAGCGAAGGTTTCAAATAATAAAATAGTCGGCAGTCATCTCCCACGAGATATAAACCAGGCTTGGGCTATTCCAGAAATCTCCTGTAATTTCGCGCAAACAATCGAGTCTATGACGCTGTCAATTCGAGACAGTACTCGAGGTTTCGCAAATCAGACGAGAGAAAATAAATCGAGAGAATTCTAGAAAGCAACGCGACTCGAGACAACGATGGATATAGTCATGGACTAATCGAGAACACACGTTAATAACAAAACTATAACGCAAGCGTTATTTTCACTCGGAATACGATATCATTGCGTGACGAAGTCGCACATGCCAACTGTTTTTAATGATGTACCTTCCAGAGAAACGGAGCTCCGTTACTAGGCGAGAAAATGAATGATAAAATGCATACCTATTAAATACCGTGCGGCGGAATATCGGAATTCATTACTCGAGCTTATTCTTATCATCGTCTCTTATTCTAGAAGGTAAAGCAACAGCTGCAGTAACCACACTCGCAACGCAAGAATTTTTTGCAAGCTCCCAATATACAAATTATCTTAATATTATACATCAGTGAAAATAGAATTAGATATTCATATGTTTATTGAATGAAAAAGTTTCTTTCCTCCCTAACAATAACGCCAATTACTATAAGCTTAGATAACACTAACACATATCAATAGTAAAAAATCATAGTGTTAATCGACTTAGTCATTGAAATAAGATTAGATTGTAAAGATTATGCATCTCTGAAATTTTATCCTCACAATCTTATGTTACATTTTACATCAGTTGCCATCAACTACTCTAATAAAAGTACTATGATTATTATGTTAGGACTTACATATTTATCCCGGGGAGGAAAAAATCTTTAATAAAAGACGATTTAATCATATAAAAAACCACGGCCAACCGTCAATTACAAGTCCATGTTTCGTATGGCATCAGTTAGACAGTTATTTGTTTCAGATGCAAGGCTTGATGGTAGAGGAAGCCGTTACCGACCAGCGCTTATGTGAACCATTCTATGGCACCGAGGAGTCTCTCGCTTATAATTGTGTCTCATCGAATTCGAACAAGTGCAGGATAATCAGAGATGCGGTGACGAGCGTATTTCCAATGCTTAGTTCGATGCGCCACACCGCCGAGCTCGGAGAAAATTTACAATCTAATAAGCCTCTGGCTCTGGGTTTTACTCTGACACAGAGAATGAGAATGCAAGTTGAAAATGAGTATGAATATGTCATGTTCCAATTCCACACTAACATTGACTCCAAATTAAACGGTCATTCGCTCAAAGTGCTCTGTTAATTGTGTTATTCATATCTACTTGGTTTCAAGATTCAGCCATGCAATTATTTTTAATAAACATCTTTACTGAATGTATGCATATGACATAGAATGAAACCCTGAAGCCAAAATTTATTTTATAAAGGAAGACACAAGTCATAATTTCAGTCTGGAAGTGAAAAATTTTACATAAACTATATCAATTTCTAAAAAAATGAATGTTTATCAAAGCATTGAATTTTCTAATTTTAACAAAACTGAGACTGAGTATCAAGAAAAATTTTATGATCAATCTAATTACATGAAATACCCACCTGATGCGGATAAGAGCTTCGGTGTTTTGGAGGCCTTGGATCCTGCCATGTAGTTGTTTGGTTTCTATGATCAATGAAAAAGGGCCATCCTGTTGCCTCGTCAATCCTCATTTCCCATCCTAATTCAAAACATTATCAAAGCTCAGGACCAGGAAATTTATGGTCAACATTAATAGAAAATTAAGGACATACCTGGAGGAAGTGGATCCATTGATATGTTTGGAGGTGGAGGGGGGTAGTAATTATTAGTCGGATGTGGATACGACATTTTTTTCGTCTGTTTGTACCTAGATATTGAGCTATTCACAGTGTGGTTCAGGCAAATATTGAGTCACTGCAGTGCAGGGTTGGTTAGTACTTCACTATCATTTGTGTTATTGATGAAGGTATATCCAATCAATTTAATGATGGAATGCTTATAAAAGCTAAAAATTATTACTACCCTATTACTGAAAAGACATCTTTACAAAACATAAATATAAAAGTGCGATAGAAATTCCATTTTAATACAATTCATCATCTGCAATTGTTAGAAGCAACAATAAAGAGATATTATCACTTGCAGAATACTCGTCTTGCAAACTGCAGATTGATTACCTAGTACAGAAGAATATAACTTAACATCTATTGTAAGATGATTGTATGTAAAAAGAATTGTTAGATAAAATGGTTAATTAAAGCTTGATGTTTATGATCCTAATAAGTTGAAATTGCAAATTATCCACATCATAACATGAACCATATTAATGGTAATTTAACAAATCATACATTATTCATGTATACATATATTGTCTATTTTTTGTCAAATTATAAATCGAAAATCGTTCGTTCAACATTGGCAATACTTGGATGACTGATATAAAATTTCTGTGTATGAACAGTATTTAGTCAATTTATTTTACCATGTTTTAGGAGATTAATTGATAATTATCGAAGCATAAATTTAGAAATCAAATCAGTTAGCAGAGTAGTAGTTTATATCAAAATCATATTATGATAAACTTGTTGATATAAGATTGTTTTTTATTCAAAGGCATCAGGTTTTAAATTTATGCAACACATATCTAAATGAAAAGGTTTTCGAATTCCAATAAAGGCATCCAAAATATATTAAAAACGCTGTAACATTTTACCATCAACCTAACGGCAAAATACAATTAATGCTTTTTATTTTTGGCAAAATTAAAACATCATACTGGCTTCAACATCGCCAGTATACTCGCACATTTCTTCAAAAGCAACCCGAACCACAACATCTCTATCTTCAATTAACTGAACCAGAGCTTCACAATTTGCTTTATCTTTTTCTAAAATTTTAGCAAGTTTCCCTGAATGTTTCGATTTGAATTTTGATTTCACTATAATTATATAAGAATCGGAAGCTGATTTTGGAATAACTGTTTCTAACATTGATTCTTCAATATCATCCAACAATCTACCATCTGTCGTTTTGCAGCAACAAAGTCCACCACCTAAAACATCTTCAATAATTACTTTTTCAAGATAGTATCTGCCTTTTTTGTACGATTTATCAACAATTCTGACTCTCATTTGAGGTTGTACCCAATGCGAGAGAGTAGAATTTGAGTCTTGTTTTGGAGAAATCTCTCTATTTGACTTATGTTTCTTTGATTTTTTATGTTTCGGTGGTGAATAATCTTTGTGTCTTCTTTTCCTTTTTTCTTTATGCTTCATATCTGTATCTTTTTGGTGTGACATAGCTCTCTCAGAACCTGGTGATTCTCGTCTTTTATCATTTTCCTCTGTATTTTTTCCATTACCTATTATAAGCATGTTATCCCCAGTATATGCTTTGCTAAGTCTACTCAAATCCTTCGCATTTTTATCATATTCCTTTTTTGTAACAACTCTAAGACAATGTTGTCCAATTTGTTCAGATTTACCCCCTATTGCCATTTTGACAATACATCTTGCAGTCTCAATGTCTAGACCCAAAATGACACCATATTTGTTTCTCAATGCGCCCCTGTGAATGAATACGTTAGCACCTTTTTCAAGTGCTAATTGATTTTCCTCTATATGAGTTTCATCTCGATTTGTAGTCTTAGTTGTATCAGCTTTTATTGGGGTAGCCACATCAGCACCAAGACCTAAACCTTTAGGCCTAACTTGCTGGTGCAACATTTCTGTGTTTTGTTTGAAAGTTCGGCCAATTCCCACTTCAGGTTTCCAACCCATCCCACGCAGTACTGCCATGCCAAATGCAGCCACAGGGATTTGATCATATTGGGCCTCTGATGCTTCATCAGGTCGCAATGATACATCTAGTTTATTATCAGTTTCATATCCCTCGGGCACCTTATTTTTCATAAGAAGTGGCACTGCAAGATTTTCAAAATCTTCTCCGTTTTGATCAGTATCTTCTAAAAATGTTTTAGATTCTGCAAGAATTTCTTTAGCTGCTTCCGCATCAATACTACTGATAACATTTTCTGCTGATGTCTTTTGTTTATTCACAGATGTTGGTATTTTATAAACATTTTGTTTAATTAGGGGTATAACCAAATCCCTTGGTGGTTCTTTCTGAAGTTTAGTTGATTTTATTACTTTTCCTTCTACGGTTTCAAGATAATCCGGCTCTTCATTTTTAGGCTTTTCAACATTCACAACCTTGGATTCTATTTTCTTCTTGAATCCAAAGGAAACTGACATTATGACAAACTCTAAAATATAGCAATAAGAATGGGTAATTTTCTTAAGAAAATATAAAATTCAATTTTGCTGTTTGGTATTCACTTCATTCATTTTAAAGTTTACTGATTAACAGATTAAAGAAATAATACTGTAATAAGCAATCAAAAATCAATTTATACTTCAATTGTCTCAACTTCAACTGTCATTTCCTTAGATCTGTAGATTTTGACATATCAAAATGTGTTACCATACAGCCATAGCTTTTCAAGGTAATGTTCAGATGTCTGAGTGTAAAATGACAATAACTTGTACGACGAGTTCAAAATAGATTAGGCTATCTCGATCTGTGATGTGCAACCCCGCATGCGGCTCTCAAATACTCTTCCTGCTGTCCCGCTGCAGCTTTCATTATCCTTTAAAAATCATCATATTCAATGAAAGCTATTTTTATCTCAACCTGATACGGTACCGGTAGTTCGGTAATTTGCTCGTGATTTTTTTTTTTTTTTTTAAACGCTCACAAATGTGTTAAATGTGATACAGTAATAATCATAGAAAAAATGGGAAATAAAATTTTTACAATCAATATTATCTCAAATTGTAATCCATAATATCCGACTTAGTTCCATTTTTCAGTATTCCAATGTTCAATAATCCATGTATAATCCGTAATATCAATTCAGTGATATCAAGATGTTTTCAAGTTAATAATACATTAGTTAAGCATTATTTGTTATACATAAAAATAGAAAAAAAAATATTAGCAACTATACATTTACTCAAAATATAATCACAGACAGTTGGTTAAAAATTCTAATTCCTTTATGAAATTTGGTAATTTTCGAACTTTTTCTATATTTCTCCGACATGTTATTGAAGTTTGTATCTGTTTTATGACTGTTTGAACGTTAGGTATCTTTTTTTGAAATATAACAGCATTTCTTTCTAACCAGATCTTATATCTTGTTATTGATATAAGTAATACTATAATGTTTTCATGAAAATCTGAAAAAAATACACTGTTCATTGCCCGTGATTTGAGCTTGGTCTGAAAGCTCAAAGATCGGCTTAGAATATTCTGAGAACTTCCATCGGTCGACTTCACTAACACATAATGTTAAATATGAATTCGATCCATAGCGCCATCACGCGACAGAATAAAGCAGTTGTGACAGAATACTGAGGAGTAAGAACGGAAAAGAACAATTTAGTGCAAGTGATGAGACGGATTAACAATATCGCGTACCACAGCGTCTCGTCCGATCACTAGTTCTTGTCGGGTGTGGGGTTAGATAGTCAGTTATTTGTTTCAGATGCATGGACTCGACGGGTGATGAAGCAGCCTCTACGAACCCACATAGGGTAATCGGAGGTATAACGATAAGTTTATTTCGACTCCATAATCAGCAATAGACGATAAAATAATTGATAAAAACAAAATAATTAAAACTGATTATAGAATTGAAAAAGTAAACCAAACCTCAAGTAAGGTTTGAAGCGTACAGATTTTAGGTGGGAAGGTATTGATACAAGAAGTAGTGCGTGTTCGCTTACCCAAAAGGTGCTATTGTCACGGACTGGGTCCATTGTGTGTATATATTTTTTTATGTTTATAGACTAGTATGTTGACCCTTGTTTAATGCTGTTTTGTCGGATCTGGACTCCGACCACTGACACGTAAGAAAAAAAACTACCTATGTCTTTCCCCCTTTTTTCTGCGGCTGCTGCGCTGGCGGGCGGTCGTGTTTTTTAGTTCTTTAGTGATGTAATCTGTTATGCTGTTTTAAGTTTGATATTGGAGTTGCCGTGCAATAAACAACCAATCCTGAATTCTTGAGTCTTCTGATTCATCTACATTCTACAACCACAGAAGCAACATTTTTTTTTACCGTGACACTATGACAAGTGTATGCGATGCGCCATCGGCCGCGCCGATCAGCCTGGCTTATTTAGACAAAAAATGAAATAATCCTACTCGCTTTATAATTATTACCTTGATTGGAGACGTTTTGTTCAAATTGGTCTGTTTCTAAATATATTTGGATTTCGTTGAATAAAGCGTGACATGCTTTTTTTGTCTTTTGAATGCTGTTATTTGATATTACTGCTATATTTTGTGTTTTAACTTTGGAGACACCGAGACGCTACGGCACTGTCACTCTTTCTTTTGTTATCCTGTTAGAGAAGGCTGTGGATCGCAGTAATGTAGCTGCGGTTGTTTCAGTTAGATTTTTAGTGTTCTTGGGTCTTTTTAAGTCTGTAAAATTGTCCCTAGTTCTTAAATAGGTGACCTAATGTGTTTAAATCTGGATAGGCTTAGATATTGTAATGTTAGTCAATAGGATGATACCGGTATAGCAAAGGGTTCCACTGGAACATGTGATGAGGGGTTATGTTCAGGCCGGAACGACAACCGGATAAATTTGATTGATCGAAACATTTGGGCTCATTTTTGTACCATTTTAAGGCTATAGCCGAGTCTAATGGTTGGGATATATGTGGACACGATGGGGGAGTGAATTAGGCATTTGCATGGTAGGCAATGCTCTGAGTCATTGAATTGATTGTGAACGAACGTGAATGCTTTGAGGCTATCGTACGCCATTTTAAAAAGTATTTCGAAGTGAAGGGGGTATTGAAATGCTTCGAGCCGTTTTCGGTCAGTCCGTGAAGCTGGCAAGAGAAACCAATAATGAATTTGGCGGTGCATTGAAACAGCTAGCTAGTCGAGCTTATCCATAATTGAAGCCTTAGGATAAGGATTAAGAATGACTTGGCCAAATCGCAATTTTTGTGAAGATTATACAAGTTTCATTTCCACATTGGCCTTTGCAATCCGCCATGTTGAAAGATGTAATGTCGTTGGCTACCAGATATTAAAGTTATGAAAGGCCATGGCAAGCCACAAAAGAGGGAACCAAAATTAATCTACCGTAGCAACGATTTCTAACGATGAGATATTTGGGGCTGATATTACCAACGAGATCCCGTGTATCCCCAAGTTCCATTATCCCTTGTTTCAGATGCGGTCAAGTGGGACATAGAATCAGTGATTGTCGCAGACCACCAACTCTTACACCACCGTCTACGGCTCTAGGCCATGTCCCTACTATAAGCAAACGGGTCATTGGGCACGAGATTTTCCAAATCCAGTTTTCGGTGTGGACAACAGGGACACATATGCCCCCTGGCGCCAAGGTACAGGAGCGCCAAAATTTCACCGAAATTGGAGATTGCAGAATGCTGCTCAGTAACTGAAGGTCAACCAGAAACTCCTTTGGCTCTTCTTGGTTTTATTGTGTCTTTTGGTGACGACGTTTTCCCGAATCTGCGATTTTCTCCACAGACTTTGTTAACAATACCAGTTTCAATTGCATGCTGTGAACGGTCTTTCAGCAAATTGAAACTTATTTTGTCGTATTGGCGTGCATCAATGGGACATGATCGTCTCAGTGATCTAACACTTCTAAGTGTTGAAAAAGAAACATTGGAAAAAACAGATTTTGATGACGTGATTAACCAGTTTGCGACAGTGAAATCAAGAAAAATAAATTTATTGTAGACTATGTAAATCAACTTTGACAGTAACTGAGTGGGACATAATGGACATGTGCTATATTTTGTACAGCTTTACCTCTTCTTTAAATGAAATATTCCATTAAAATTTGAATTGTTTTTTCATATACAATTAAATGTAATAGAAAATATGATTGAACGTGGAGGTCGGAGCGCCAATTTTATAGTTTGCCCCGGGAGCAAAATATTCTGGCTACGCCTCTGCCCGGCGTCTTGGCTGGGCAAGGAGACAAATAGCGGAGGACACTGTTGACAAGATGCTTGAACAAGAAGTGATTGAGCTGAGTGATAGCCCGCACTCGTTACCAATTGTTCTGATACCTAAGAAAGATGGTAGTACGCGTTTTTGTATTGATTTTAGGCACCTAATTCAATTACCTACAGGTCCTACATGGATGGTTCCCCTTTAACTCGAATAGATGACATCGTGGGGTCATTTAGCGGATCAAGCTAGTTCTCAACACTTGACTTAGCTAGTGGATACTGCCAGGTAGAAGAAGGGACATGCTTATTTCAGTAGGACTCTATCTAAGACGGAACGTCGGTATTGTACAACAGAGAGGGAGCTGTTGGCGATGGTTAAATCAGTACGTCATTTTCGCCATTATCTGTGGGGCAGACACTTTTTGATTCGCTCTGATCATTGTGGCTTGAAGTGGATTTTAAATTTCCAAGAACCAGAAGGGAAGGTGGTTCGCTGGATTTCTACACTGTTCACACAACTTCAGGTTTGAACATCGAGCAGGGACTAAACATGGTAATGCAGATGGACTGCCTCGTCAAACCAAACGCTGTAAGCGCCCGGACTGTGTGTCTACTTCACTGTACCCTGTTATCAATATCCGGCTAATAGCACCTCTTTTCAACTCTGACTTTCCCGAGATACCAAAGGCTGTAACTGGATGGACACATACACGGAGGAAATGATTAGAACTTGCCAAGCAGAGAACCCTCATCTATCTGCAGTTGTCGCCTGCTAATAGCACCTCTTTTCAACTCTGACTTTCCCGAGATACAAAAGGCTGTAACTGGATGGACACATACACGGAGGAAATGATTAGAACTTGCCAAGCAGAGAACCCTCATCTATCTGCAGTTGTTGCCTGAAGCGCCGTTCGGATCATAAACCGCAGCCACAGGACTATATACATGAAGATCTAGAGTTGGACTCTAGAGTGGTTGTTTTGTATTGCACTGTTTACATATTGTGCACTATTGCGGCCCGCGAACAATACAAAAATAAAATATTAGTGTGGGCCGCGAAGCCGACAACCTTGGACCACCCTGCAGTCTAGACTTCTAGAGACTAAGCGTTATCCAAAGTGACTATAAACCAAGTGGAGACACCGAGTGCCATGATGCAAATCGGACGCCATTATGTGTCCGGGAACGCGGCGTATCGTGAAAGTTGCGATAGTTTTCTATCTTATTATCCCGTGTGAGTTATGCAACTTTGAAACCTCATATCTCACTAACCTTATATTATATTTAGACAAGTTTTATATTGTTTGAGAGACAATCTAGGAGACTAATTATGAGATAGAGATAAAATGTCGCGATTATCGTACAAACATCGGCAAAATTGAAAAGCGTGAAATTTTTTTGAAAAACCTATTTGTAAAATTGTATAAGCTATTTTATTCAATGTTCTCTAATTCTTCACATGTCCGCTGCGCGAACTTGAGTTAAACAACCTAACCACTTCGTTACGCAGCGACGTTTCGCAATTACGTTGCAACGTAACAGTTCTGCGTTCCTTATGAAAAACACATATCGCTTTCCCTCGCAAGCGTGAAACGTCATTAACCTAAAGTAGGGATCTCCAACACAGCCGGCGTCATGGTTGAGATTTTTCCAGAAAAAACTAAAATAGTACGATGTCAACTATGAGTTTTATCGTGTTA